AATTAAGGATCCCTGGGCGTGGGCTTGTGTATGGCCTGATGGAATAATTGTGTGACAGCGTAAATAGCCAGGGTTGGTTAGGATGATGAACTTGCTTGAGTAGAATAAACAGAGATAGAGTAAATAACCTTTAGTGCATAATACGTGATTATTTGACGTAGAGTCAACGGGATCATATGATGGTATAGTAAAACATGGCATACTAGGATTGTACCAAGAAACATGACGATACGTATACTGGACATAGGAGTGTGGCATGTCACAAAAAAAAAGGTTTGCAAATAGGTGGCTGTTCTCCAAATTAAGTAAAAATACCTATCATGGGAGCAAGTACACTGATTGGCAATAACACGTGGGAAACAAATGTGAGAGTAGTGACTGCCTCAGAATTTTTACCTTCCTGCTCCTTGCTGACCCTTCCTGTAGGCTGCCTCCCCCCCATCCCTCACTTACCTGGTTTATAGGCTGCCTCCCCATCCCTCACTTACCTGATCTATAGGTTGTCTCCCCCCCATCCCTCACCTACCTGATCTGTAGGTGGATCCCCCATCTCTCACTTCCCTGATCTATAGGCTGCCCCCCCAACCCTCACTTCCCTGATCTATAGGCTGCTAGTCTATAAGTGACAGAATAAAATATTGCGATATTTGATGATAATGCTATATATGTAGTGTGACGGACTGCCTGCCACCCCGACTGGGTACCTCAGTCGAACGATGCTCCTAGTGCTCGCCAAGGACCATCAGCTTCGCACTCGACACTATAACAACCGCAAACCCTGCGAACCGCCACAGCTTGGTTGGGATTTTGCCGTCCTCCACCCACCCTGGACCCAAGACCAGGGTCCATCTTCCAGTGGGTGAACCTCTCCTTAGTCCGGAGAGTGAAACAGGAACAGGAACAGGAACAGCACTTACAAGTGATTGTACTCTGGGGAGTATAGTGATTCTAGCAATCCCCAGAGTGTAGTTCTCCAATCCCCCAAATATGTGCCAAGAGTTCATGAAGGGTAGAACAGGTCTGTTTAATGCGAGCCAGCACTCACAATTTATACAATTCCTCAGGCCAGAGGCACACCCCCTGGACCTGATGAAACACAGGCACACAAAGGACACAAACCAATCAGAACAATACAACAATGTCCGACACTCCCACATACAACACACAAGCCTGTGTCTGTGATATAATTAACTAAGACAATGGACTAACTCAGTTAACTCTAAGCAGAAAAAAACATACATTTTTACAAACCTCAAAAAGTACCCCAGAATACAACATATCCCCCACATCCCCTGATAGCCCAATCTATGTGAACATATCCAAAAATCACCCGGATTGGTTCAGGGGTTCAGAAATTTCCTGGAAGTCTTATTTTGACTGTGCACATGGTTCCATGCCCAAAACAGTTCCATACACTCAACGGCAAAACACTGCTGGACAATTTAAGATGGCCACTGCCACATGTTTGAATCTGTTCCAGTTAAAAGTCCAAGGGCCAGAAACAGTGCCTTTAAAATCCAATATGCCCAAATAGTGTTTTTAAAGGGCAATATATCCCAGGTGCCATAGTCACAGGGGAAGAGGCTGGCAAGCAGGCCTCTCCAAATCCCAGTGACGAAGGTGCTTTCGTCACATGTAGTAAATATTTAAACGCGTACCAGAGCTGAATTTGTAATGGAAAATTGACAATATATGTGCACAACCATAATTAATATCTGTCACGGCAGCTAGTGTGGTCCAACATGCAGAAACTATGTAAATATATACATACAAAAGAAAAAGACAGAGCGTAAACCAGACCTTAGAATGGCCGGACTAAAACGCTAGAGATAGAGAATGGTCAAAGGGAAAGCCGAGGTCAAGAAAGCCAGAAATACTCAGATACCATTTAAACAAGCCAAGTCAGGGGAACCAGAATTCAGAATAACCAGGGAAAAGCCAAGATCAGGATACCAGGAAGTCATAAACGCACTCTCAGGAACCAGGAACAGGAAACCACGACAGGGCAAGGAAGTAAGGTGAATTAGGGATTTAAATATCCCTCTCTAAAGTATCAATATCCTTCTGGAGATACAATACTCCAAGTGAGGTCTCACCAGTGTTCTGAACAATGGCATGAGTACTTCCCTCTTTCTACTGCTAATATCTCTCCCTATACAACCAAGCATTCTGCTAGCATTTCCTGTTGCTCTATTCCATTGTCTGCCTACCTTTAAGTCATCAGAAATAATCACCCTTAAATCTCTTTCCTCCGATGTTGAGGTTAGGACTCTATCAAATATTCTGTACTCTGCCCTTGGGTTTCTACGTCCAAGATGCATTATCTTGCACTTATCCACATTAAATGTCAGTTGCCACAGCTCTGACCATTTTTCTAGTTTACCTAAATCATTTGCCATTTGGCTTATCCCTCCTGGAACATCAACCCTATTACATATCTTAGTATAATCAGCAAAAAGGCGTACCTTACCATCAAGACCATCTGCAATATCACTAATAAAAATATTAAAGAGAATGGGTCGAAGTACAGATCCCTGAGTTACCCCACTTGTGACAAGCCCATGCTTTGAATATACGCCATTGACAACAACCCTCTGTTGCCATTCAACAATATTGGAATCCAAATTTAAAGATTGCAGTTAATTGATAAGCCTTCTATGTGCACCAGTGTCAAAAGCCTTACTGAAATCTAGGTAAGTAATGTTTACTGCACCACCCTGATCTATTATTTTATTTACTCAATCAAAAAAATCAGTAAGATTAGTCTGGCATGATCTCCCTGAAGTAAACCCATGTTGTCTCTGATCTTGAAATCCGTGTGATTTTAGATGTTCAATAATCCTATCCTTTAACATGATTTCCATTACTAGTGAAGTAAGGCTTAATGGCCTATAGTTGCCCGACTCCTCCCTACTACCGTTCTTGTAAACGGGCACAACATTCGCTACCTTCCAATCTTCTGGGACTACTCCTGTTAACAATGATTGGTTAAATAAATCTGTTAATGGTTTTGCTAGTACACTACTGAGCTCTTTTAATAACTTTGGGTGTATTCCATCAGGTCCATTGACTTATTTGTCTTTACTTTTGTGAGTTGAAATAGAACCTCTTCCTCTGTAAACTCACATGTAACAAATGACTCATGTGTCCATTTTTCTACCTGTGTAGGTGATGCAGTGTGTGTGTGTAATGGATGCAGTGTGTTTTTGTGTAAGGGATAGAAAGCAATGTGTGTTTGTGTATAAGGGATGCATTGTCTGTTTCTGGATGTGTGTAAGGGATGCATTGTGTGAATCTGTATTTGTATTTGTAAGGGATGCAAGGTGTGTTTCTGTGTATGTAAGGGATGCAGTGTGTGTAAGAGATGCATTGTGTTTCAGTATGTGTTCCTGTCTGTGTAAGGGATGCATTGTGTGTTTCTGTGTATATGTGCAAGGGGTGCATTGTCTTTGTGTATAAGGGTTGCATTGTGTGTGTGTGTGTAATGGATGCATTGTGGCATTGTGTATTTCTCTGTGTGTTAGGGAAGCATGGTGTGTTTCTGTGTGTGTAGGGATGCATTGTGTGTTTCTGTGTATGTATAGGGAAGCATTGTGTGTTGTGGGGTAGGATAGGGACTGAGTCCTACCAGACCCTTTTTGCTTCTCTTTCCCTCCTTCCTCAGCCTCTCTGCCCTCTTGTACCTTAGAGTTCTTCCATCCTGTCCCTTAGTGCTCTCCCCTGCCCCACTGTTCCTTAGTGATCTCCCCTGTCTTCTTCCCCTTAGTGCTCTCCCCTCCTGTCCCTTACTGCTGTATCCTGCCCCATTGTGCCTTATTGCTCTCCCCTGCCCCACAGTCCTTTAGAGCTCTCCTCCCATCCCTTAGAGCTCTCCCCTGTCCGTTACTGGTCTCTTCTCCCCCTTTCCTATAGTGCTCGCCCCTCCTGTCTCTTAGAGTTCTCCCCTCCTGTCCCTTAGTACTTCTGCACCACTGTCCCTTAGTGATCTCCCTGCCCCCTTTCCCTTAGTGCTCTCCCCTCCTGTCTTTTATTGCTGTATCCTGCCCTACTGTTCCTTATTGCTCTCACCTGTCCCCAACCCCTTAGAGCTCTCCCCTGTCCGTTTTTGGTCTCTTCTCCACAACCCTGTCCCTTATTGGTCTCTCCTCTCTCATGCCCCCCAAAGAGCCCCCTTTCATGTAGTGCTCTCCGCTCCTGTCCCTTAGAGCTCTCTCCTACCCCTTGTTCTTTGGTGCTCTCTCCTACCCCCCGTTCCTTAGCGGTCTTCCCTGCCGCCTGTCCTTTAAAGCTCTCCCTTCCGTCCCTTAGAGCTCTCCCTTCCATCCCTTAGAGCTCTCCCCTGCCCCTTAATGTCTCTCCTCCCCTGTCCCTTAGTGGTCTCTCCTCTCCCCCACCCCATTAGTGGTCTCTCCTCCCCCCTCCCTTAGTAGTCTCTCCTCTTCTCCCCCCCTTTGCATTAATGGTCTCTCCTCACCTCCCCCCATAGTGGTCTCCCCTCACCCCTCCTACCTCCCTTAGTGGCCTCTCCTCCACCCTCCCTCCCTCCCTCCCAAATTGGTCTCTTCTTCTTCAATGGGGGCCCCATGGAGGAGGATTGGCAACTAGACATGTTCAATGGCACAATTGTGGAGTAGGGTGGAGAGGCTTATAATCAAGGGACTAAATATGTCCTGGGTCCTTCATGGGTTATCCCTGCGCACTTAGCATTTCATTGTTACTTAAGTAGTGCAGTTCTTACATAGTCAGGGCATCTGAAGACTGGGTGTGCTATGGGTGCCAAGGTGTCAAACAGCAGAAAAGCATCATAAACAGAACGATAGACTGCTTTGGGTGCCCCTTTAACTTATTATGCAAAGGAAATAAATATGTTTTCTTCCTATATTTACTTCTGTTGCGTCCTTGTACAATGAACAGTCATGTCCTTTGTACACAGAATATATATACATATTTTAAATGGAGGGGGCTAGGGAGGAGTTTAGAATCAGATTACTTGTTAAACAAGAACACAAATTCTTGGCAGAGTTCGGGCAGCAGTGAACATTGTCCTGAACTGAAGTGATATTGACATCGAAAAGAAGTATACTAATCTCAATATTAGAAGGAGCAAAATGTAAGTCTCTAAGTATTGGGTGTGGGAACTGTTGGCAAATAGATGGCAAATCATTTTTCAAATTAGGTAAAAGATTAAATGTTAAAATGTTTCTGAATCATCGGTTGAACTGAGCTGGTAACAACGTTCAGTTGGATGTTTGCTGTTCAGATGTTTTGTTCTCGATTTATAGTAGCTCTTTAGTAATTTCACTAAGTTCTAGTTTAGTGAATAAACTCCAAATTTTAGAAGATTGTCTTGAACTGGAGTAATGCATTTAAAACAAATAACTATGGGGAGTAGTTATTACATATGCCACAAGGAAGGCTGCACTCATGTAAACATGCATACAATATAAACGTGTTGCTGGAGCCAATTAATGTAACCATATGGAATTCAGAATTCTGTCACTCATTAAACACCAGCTTCAAAGCTCAGATAATTTGTTTTTTTTCTTTTTTAAGACACCTAACACATGCAAAACTAATGGGGATTTAGTTACAGTATATGATCATATATTGCATAAGTCTGCCCCAACGCCATTGTACCCCATTCTTGGCAAGTCCTATTCCAACAACCTGCTGCCTGCTTTGTGCGATTAATTCACTTACTTGGGAAAGCCTTCCTCTTGGGGTTCTCTGCACTGCAAGCCTAAATAGGGCTCTGGAGTGAAGTATATATTTATATATGCAAAGTTTGGAAGTTTAGCAATACATATTCTTATTACATGTGGAAGCAGAGTGATGTTTCCATTCTTCCTACTGCTGTGATTGCTGCTCTTGTTACTTATAGGGACAGACTGGGTATTGTAGGCACTATAAACATTTAATCTCACTGAATTGGTTATAGTGCCTTCAATCCCCTAGCACAACCCCTCCATTTAATATTAAACTAGTTTTGAGCATCAAATTTAAAATTAAATAGGGGTCCCTAGCCACCATCAGACCAGTCCTCACTGGGGGCCTGGCTAAGGCAGAGATTGTGCATGTACTCTAGTCATACCAATTCATCCCAGCAATGGGCACTTTTCTTTCAGGTGACACTCTCAGCTAATCACAGCTGCCCATTGTTATTCAGGTGAATGTTTTCTCATTGGCCTAAGCAGCACAGCGGGATGGGCTTCTGGGACTCTTGTTTAGCATTAAAACATTAAAAATAATAAATAATAATAATAATAAATAAAAATATTTATATGCAAAATTGAAGTACTGCACAAGTACCCTCCAGACACTATAACTACTTCAACAATATGAAGCACGTATAGTGCCTACAGTGTCCTTTTAATTTGTAGTCCAACCAAGTGATTGATGTCAGCAATGGGCAAAGCATACTATTCTCCCAACACAGCACGTGTAAGTGGAACTTTGTAACCCCAGACTCTATGTTGTTTTATCTGCTTCACAGACACAGAGATAACTTGCTGGTACCATGTGTTTGAAGCAACTGGCAGATTAAAAAAAAAAAAAAAGAGTATAACCAAGACCAGGGGAGGGCTGGCAGCCTCAGGCCTGGGGGGCAAATCCAGTCAAGTGGCCCATTGCACCCCAGAATCAGCTCACCATCCATGCCCACCTTTTCCTGGTTTTATAACAGATATTGATGTTATGCTAATCAATAGCTCTTTGCCATACCCACTCCTTTGCGGCTCCGACTTTCAATGTGATTAGAGCGCATGCTGAGAATCTCTGAGCCTGTGCTCTGACTCACTAACTGAGCACTGGAACCACGAGGGAGAGGATATGATCTAAGGCACCTACTGCTGGTGTGCACCAGTGGACCACTAGGGAATCATTTAAATTAAAGGGACACTCCAGTGCCAGGAAAACAAATCATTTTCCTGGCACTGCAGGTCCCCTCTCACTCCCACCCCCCATCCCATGTTGCATCCGATGTCCCTCCACACTCCTCCCCCAGTGATGTCATCTGGCGGGGGAGACCGATTGCGCATGCCCGGCAGCCGGCGGAGGAGACCTCTCCATAGGAAAGCATTGAAAATGCTTTCAATGCTTTCCTATGGGGATTTTAGCGACGCTGGAGGTCCTCACATAGTGTGAGGACGTCCAGCACCGCTATAGCACAGAAAACATGTGCTATAAACCAGGAAGTGCCCTCTAGTGGCTGTCTAGTAGACACACACACAAACCTTGACAGACAAACACTCACTGACAGGCAGCAACATACACACACACAAACACTGACAGGCAGACACACTCCAGACACACACACTCAGCTGACAGACACACTGGTACTCACTCTCAATAACACACACACACACAAACCCTGACAGACAAACACTCACTGGCAGGCAGACACACACACACAAACACTGACAGACAGACACACACTCACCGACAGACACACACACACACTTACTGACAGACACATTTACTTCCAGACACACACACTCACTCACTTCCAGACACACACACACACACTCACTTCCAGACACAGACACACACACACTCACTTCCAGACACACACTCACTTCCAGACATACACATACACTTTCACACTTCCAGACACACACATACACTCTCACACTTCCAGACACACACATACCCTCTCACACTTCCAGACACAGACACACAAATTCTTTGTTGCTCCTACCTTTAGGAGTCCTCTGGGTCCTTGCCCTGGGGTCAAGTGACTTCCTGCTCCTCTCTGGTCTCTCGCGCAGTTTAGTGATGCGGGGCCGGAATGACGTCATATTCCAGCTCCCGGCATCATAAGAAAGATCATAGGCAGAGGCAGTGCTCCCCCGCCGCCTGCCTCCTTCCTCACGCGGCCGGTGTATTGATGCAGAGTAGGCACCTGCTGTCTGGGACAAGCAGGTGCCTACTCTGCCTTGCCACCGGGGCGCTCTAGGTGGCCAGCTTTTGCAAACGATTTAGGGCAGCCTGGGGGACAATTGCCTCCCTGTCCCCCGGCCCAGCCCTCCCCTGACCAAGACTTCATCTCTGCTACTCTGTAAAAAAACATGTAGAGGAGGGAATGAGAAATAGTGCTTTCCATTGTGTGTAATTATGACACCATAGAGATAAATACAATAAAGAAGACAGAGAAAAATATTTAATTGTGAAAGTTGAGACACAAATACATTTCGGAAGGGATGATAGACACACACATACATGCATACACACACACACACGTGAGGAGAAGTGTTGAATGTACACAGGTTAGAAAAGAGGCACCTGAGGGAGAGAGGAAAAGAGGTAAGAGTGTGAAGATGTGGAGGGAGAGATAGGTTAGGACTGGAGAAAAGTGATATATACAATTATGGAGGATGCGGTTACAGATACAAAGAGAATCAAAGAAGAAACACACCTGCATTCACACACACTGCAGCATACACATGGAAGCAGCTGTTCTTGGAAGAAAGGTGTCTCAAACTGTGAAAAATAAAATAAATATCTTTATTTCTTCTTATAAAAGTATCTGCTGGAACAGAGCAGAGATGGAGCACTTACACACATGATACATGATGCTAAATTCACTAAAACAGAGATTAACACACTCACACACTAACATGCCACAAAAATACACCCTTACATTTACACACACTGACATTGACACACAAGCAAATGCTTGATACATACATACCTTCACAGCCTCTAAAACTTGGATCCAGTGCACTCAGCAATCTGGCATTACACACAAATAATCTCTGTATATACAATCTGACCATTTGCACCAATAACTCCCAACATTTACATATTCTGACACTTCACTTAAACACACGTCATGTATGTGCTCGCACACCACCCCATAGTCACACAGTTTGTTCAATGGCACTGCTATATTCTTACTCACCATGACATCCTCGACATTAACCCAACTTTAACAAATGGGCAGTAGTAGGTTGAAATATCAAGATTTGACTGAAGGTGACAGAAGATCTGACTGGGAGTAGGAGATGACTGAACCAGAAAACACAGATGATATGGACAAAGTGGGCTTGAAAATAAGCTGCGTAAAAAAGGTTTAAAAATTGTGACAAATACAATGCATACATGTACTGAGCTCTTAATGTACGATAATTTAATAGGTAAGATCCACAGAGCAAGGTTATTAGAAAATGAACCTCCAAGCATCACTAGTAAAAGGGCAATACACAAAGTAAATTAGCGTCAAATTACATACAAAGTTGCTTTGGTAACCCCTTAGCACACACTGACACACAGATACAAACACTGACACAAACACACCTTGACATACAGATAAACACACTAGCACAAACACACTGACACAGATGCACTCCATTCAGACTCCACCATGCTGGAGGTGTCATTGAGGAGTTTTGCCCTTTTTGTGGAAATGTTCCCAAGCAGGGCAAACTGGCAAAGAACAGAGGAGGAGCATACAGAAGTGTAGCACTCACATCTATAAGGAGAGGTAAGTGGAGACAGTTCCCCTTTGATATAGCATTTATTGAGAGTTTGCAGTCTCTAGCAGAACTAGGCATAACAACGAGTGAGTCAGTGACTACATCCAAATGGGGTTTCATTTTTACTATCTGGCATGGAAACCAGTGTTATTTAGTGCTTATCATTTCCTATCAATCCCTACGGGAGACCTTAAAATGTTAGCTTTAAAAGCAACATTTTGTAGCATGGAAACATGTAGGAGTCACTAATTTTACATGTAAGAGTCACCCATTTTAGAGTTTACCAGATTGTTGGCCACTGAATGCAACAAGCATAGAAATGGGCCTTAGCTATGCAGTTCGCTATATTATGCACTTATGTATTTAGGTATGACACAGATTTTATAGAATAACATTCAATAAATTAAAAGTGAAGCATTTGACTGTCAATATTTCGTTTGGTATTATAGTGGCATCATGATGGTAGTAGTTAAATAAAGTGATCATCGAGGAAGGCTTTTCACAGAGTAAGACAGACCCATCGCAACATTACACAGTTCAGGAAAACAAATAGTCTTATGTACTGATTTATATTCATTGCATAATATTCTGTTTTGCAATAACGGGACTTTGATCAAATTCCCAGTAAAATTAACCAGACCTTTGAGGTTAGAAAGCATGAAGTCATGACTTACTGCTGTAGTATTCAACTAGAGTTAAAAATAATTATGGTTTCTACTCAATCAATGACAGAAGATTGCTGTTATACAAGAAAATGTTGATATTGAAGTTAAATATCGGGGTGAACCTATCATCACAGCCTTTAAAGCAATGAATACTACTCATCTCCTCCTTTCCATCTCAGTATTGCAATGATATGGGAACTGTGAGCATTACATTAGTGCAGGGGTTCCCAATTAATTTTTCCATTGAAACCTTTTGACATAGTGTACCAACATCATGAAACCCCCTCCCCCCAAAAAGTGTAATTTTTTCTTTTTCGGCAAATTTCTACAGATAGTGAACAGATTGTAGTACTTAGGAACATTTGTGGTTCTATGTGTAGAATTAGTGTTTGTATATAATTTTAGTATATTAATACAGGATATGTTTCTATGCTATGCTTGCATTTAAATGCAGTGGGGTGTTTGGATATAGTGTTGGATTTTAAATGTGGATGTACATTTGTGTGTAGCACTGGTGTTTGAGTGAATGCTGTGTTTGAGTTGGAGTTCAGGGGTGTCTTTCACATTAACAAACAAAAACATACTGAAACACACACACATTAATATACACACTGACACACATACACACACACACTGACACACACATACACAACCACACACACATTTGCACTTACACACATTCAGATACACACACTGACACACAGATACTACACACACACACACACACACACACTGGCAGATACACACTCACAGATACACACTGACACACTGACACACACTAGCAGATACACAGTCACAGATACACACATACAAATACACACAATGACACACATACACACACACTTGCACACACTCACATACACACTATGGCACACAGATACACACACTGACAAATACACACACTGGCACATACACACAGATACACACACTGGCACACAGATACACACACTGGCACATACACAAACACACACACACAGATACACACTGACAGATGCACACAGATAGACACACTGGCACATACATACACACAGATACACACACTGGCAGATACACATAGATACACACACTGACATAAAGATACACACACTGGTGGTTACACACACACAGATACACACACACACACACACTAGCACATACACACTGGCACATACACAGATACACACTGTGACGGACCGCCTAGGTGCCTCCGCCAATCACTGCTTCCTAGCAACACTGAGTACTTTCAAGCGCTTCACCACACACCATAACCACTGTAAACCCCACAGCCAGCATTACAGCTTGGTTGGGGTCTCACTGTCCTCCACCCACCCTGGACCCAAGACCAGGATCCAGCTTCCAGTGGATAGACCTCTTCTACTCCAGAGTGTATAGCAGGATAGCTCTTACAAGAGCTAGTGATTATAACCCAAGTGAGTATAAGAGTATAGCAATCCCCAGAGTGAATATAGCTGTCCACTCCACACATGAGACAAGACTCTATGTTGAGGGTGAAGAGGAACTGTTTAATGGCAGCCACAACTGGCCTTATATGCAAGTCCCCATGCAAGGGGTTTTCCATAACATATTCCAGAGGCATTCCCCACTGGACCTGAGAGGGGACTGTGACAAAGTAAACACTGTAATTACATTGGCTCTCAGGTTCAGGAAACTCCAACACAAAACAGGATAATCCCTCCCCTGTGCATGAGAGATAATTGAGTCAGGAACGGTACTAAACATAATTATCCCCAGGCACAGAAAACATACATGTAACAACACCCCGAAAGTACCCCTAAACACATGGAAACCCCACAAAAGTCACATCCCCTGATAGCTCCTATCTGGGGGACCAACATATCCAAAAATCACCCATATATGTTCAGGTGTTCAGAGTTTCCATGGAAGTCGTAATTTTGACCGACCGTGCAAACAGTCCTATGACCAAAACATTTCCAGAGAATTAGGGATAATGGTTAGTCTCTCTTTCTGGAGTATAAAAGTACATAAATCACATACGTTTTTAAAGAGCCTATAGTCTTTTGGCTGGAGGCTGGCAAGCAGGCCCCTCCAAGAACACATGGCATAGGCATTTCTGCCACACACACACACACACACACACTGGCACAAAGATATACACACACTCAGAAACACACACTGACACACTTAGATATACACAAATGACAGATACACTGACACACAGATACACACTGACACATACACACACAGATACACACACTGGAACAAAGATACACACACACCGGCACATACACACACACTCTGATGCACACACAGATACATACACTGACTGATACACACACTTGCACATACACACACTGTCAGATAAAAACATATACACACACTGGTTCATACATACACACTCAGATACACACACTGACAGATACACTGACACACAGATATACATGTTGCCACACAGATACACACACACTGACACACAGATACACACACTGACACAAACACACCTTGACATACAGATACACACACTGGCACAAACAGACTGACACAGATATACACACTGGCACATACATACACACTTAAATGCACACACTGACACAGATTCACACACTGACACATGCACACCTTGACACACAAATTTATACACACACACACTGGCACATACACGAACTCAGATACACACACTGACACACAGGTATACACACTCAGATACACACAATGACAAATGCACACCTTGACACACAGATAGATACACTCACACAGATACACACACACACGTCATAATGTTTACATTTGCAGTCACCCTCCTGTTAGGTTACCTTTTTTCTGCCAGAGGGTGACTTGTTTGGAGTCCTGGTGTGCTGCTGGCAGAGGCCGGTGTGCTGCTCACTCCTTGCTGCTGCCTCTCTCTGTCCAGATGGCGTGCTCTATGTCTGGGCTGTCACTTCCCCTAGCATCAAATACTACAGGACCCCAGTCGCGCTGTTAAATGGCCACGGCGCCTGACCGGGCCCTTGTTCAGCAATACCGTTTGATTGGCCTTAAGTGCATTAACCCCAAAACTCTAGAAGATGGTGCCCAACCCCTTCACTTTCTCGGAGTGTCCGAGGCTTTAATTAAGAATCCTCGGATAGGCTAAGGGCATCAGCTAATGCTCCCTATTCAGAAACTGCAGTGAAAGCTATGCATCTTGAATGTATGTGAATATAGGTGTGCTTTTGCATGGAGTATGTGTGTGAATGCTTGTGTATTTGTTTATAATTCTAATGTTTGCATGTGTCGTGTATTTATGTGCAGTATTGGTATTTAAATCCAGGGTGTGTATGTAGGTAGTTGTAACTGATCCGCTATACTCCAACTGAGTATTGTAAGTCTCCCAAATCCAAATCCAAATCCAAAGGTAAACAGTGATCAGAGCCCTTGGTTACCCAAACATCAGCCAAGACTTGATGAAGGGTACAACAGGAATCACTTTCTTTATTTTGTCACACATGGTTTTACAGGCACAGACCCCTACATTGCGTCTACAACACAAAAAGTCAGGGGTTTCAATCCCAAGAACCTGATGTGGGAGGGAGGAAGGACAAAACATCTAACTTAAACTGGGTTGGCAGTGTCCCTGTGACATGCCCTGCTAGGACATGAAAGGGAAGGGGGAGGGAGAGAGGCCAAGACAAGCAATACATTTCACTTAACCATACTTTACAGCTCTATAGAGCTGCTACTCCCCCCCCTTGTTGACTCACATCTGCATATACAGACACATATAAAAGAGTCACAAAGATGGCGCGGCAAGCTTGCGGCACGCGCCAAACAAATCAGGCCATCCATCACATATCCCCCACCATAGAAATAGACAGACATGTAGCCAAACCCATGACAGGCCTGCAACAAGTCAGTTGGACTCCCCGAGTCCACAGTCCAAGTCCTTGGGGCCCAATGTGACTGGAAAAGCGGGTGGGTATATGTGGACATGGCATTCAGTGATGGCGTTTCGTCACAGTAGTGTTTATTTTGGAATGCAGGAATTTTTTGCAGTGTTAGTGTTTGAATGCAGAGGTGTGTTTGTGTGCAGTATTGATGTTTGAATGCAGGTGTGTATTGTTGTGTAGTATTAATGTTTAAATGAAGGGGTGTGTGTTGTTTGTAGTTTTGGTGCTTTAATGCAGGATGTATGCTTTTGTAGTATTGATGTTTGAATGTAAGGGTGCATTTATTTTTAGTATACATATAAACACTGAGACTCGCACAGACACAGATACACATATACATATAAACACTGAGATTTGCACAGACACAGATACACATATACACTCCAAGAGATAGACACCTGGTAACACAAACAGATTGACATACATGCTGAGATCCACACGCTGACAAACATGCACAGATACACACACTACACACACATTGATACAATGCACAGATACACACACTGACACACATGCACACCATCTCTCTTATTCCAACCCTCCCTTTGGTGTATTTGTATTCCCTGGGCCCCGGTAAGTCTGGCTCAAAAAGAGAGTCTCTGCAGGCTCCAGCCCATCTCCTTATCTTTCATGGTTGGAACTAACAGTAGGAAGGGCCGTATGGCACCTGTGACTATATCTAGCATTGGTGAGTCCCCTGACCAACAGGGTCTCTGATGTGGTTGCACCAACTGCACCATCGGTACTTCAATGCCTGTCACTATTACAAGTATTATTCCCATAGAATATAGACACATATATACTATGTTGTAGAATAAGTAGAATACACAAAATATTACAACATAACAATATTAATTTAGGTCATCACTTCAATTGCATGTATGGGGACATTTCATATAAATGAATGCTCCACTAAAATGTTTTCTCACTATCTAATATATACTCAAAGATAATATGTATTTTTTCAGCATGTTTTCTTAGGGAGTATATGAAAAAAACAGCTTGCAAAAGCCTTTGCAATCCTCACCCTTTATCCTTGGCACAGAATATGATTGTGTGGCAGCATATCAGAGGCTTCTCATTGAGGAGACATGTGTGCGCACATGCAGTGAGCAGCAGCTCAAGCCCAGCACACCTGCCAATTCTATTAGCTCTATGGAGATGACAAAAGAAGAAAAATCCTCCCCAACATGCTACAGCAAAGTTTTATAAACTATCCAAAAATGTTTTCCAAGTTTAACAAAATGTCAACAGACTCCATGACAGCTGAATTGCTTTATGAATTGCTTTACTTGACTCATATAAACTGGTGGACTGATTTATATTATTTTTTATTTATATGTTTGGTGTGTTCCTTTAACACTAACATACAAAAACAATTGCAATATAGTAAGGCAAGGTATATTGTCATGTTATAATTGTTTTTAAAACAAATACAGGGTTGTTCACTAAAGACTGTAATTTTGCAGATTAAATCTGAATAGAAAAACTAAGGCAAAAGTAGTTGATCTGGAAAACAAATTCCAACTTGTCGTAGTCGTAGTCGTAGTCACAGCTTGGCTATTTTTTCCTTAGTTTTGCCATTCAGATTCAATTCATACAAATTCTACATTTAGTGGACAACTATGATGGACATGGGACCCATAGACAAAGGTATAGCTGGAAACATTACTAAAGCGTATAATGCTGGGCCATTTGTGTATATTTTTTTTCCCAAGGGAAACATACATGTATGTTACAAATTTGCACTAATATTATTACTGCCCAGCAAGATACATATTGTGTCCCTAATTATATTGGCCAGCACACACATCGATCAATAGACAATTCCGACCAGGCAACTTCAGAGTAGCCAGTCCACTCTTTAGGGTTGTCTTCTTTAATTACACATGTAAATCAGCTGACTGGTAATAGCTAGATCAGCTTGAAGAGAGTTTGTGACCACTACATTGGGAAAAAGAAAACCTGAAGTGTAGTTTAAATTTATTTTATAACACATGAGGACTTTTGTTAATACATTATTATATTTGTCAAGATGGCAATAGGAGCACATTTGTTGAACAGCAGTTGGCCATTTGCCTTCAGTTTTGGTATGCTAGAACCATTGTTTACCGGACAGGTATGTCTAAATTAAAATCATGAGATTGTCGTAAGGAAATTGTTGCTGTATGTTTCATTTATACTGTACTCATAAACTGGTGGCCTGATCCCTTTTTTCTTTTTAAAATGTACTTTTAAAAAAAACAATGTAACGCTGTTTAATGGTTTCAAGAGGAATGATCACTTCCTATTGCAGTGTCATGTTTAGTTATCTGCAATTTCTTTTAGCAGATATATATTTTTGTGATGTGCGAAAATTAAACTGAGAAATCGGCATCTCCATCTCCTTCACTTCATTGAAGATCTCTGTAATAAGTTGTCTTTTGCACCTGGCATTCAGTATAAAGAAAGCATACAGAGAAATGGAAAATGTAAATAGTGTTACTGTATATCCTCCTCATTTGCAATGTTTGTCCCGGCATTGCCTCTTCTGAACTGGATTATGATGTAACTTGTTAAATTCTAATAGAAATTTTGAAAATCAAATGTCCTGAAAAAACTTGAATCAAGTTATAGATTTTCAATGGTGTAAATACCAGAAAAGTGATGATCCCCCTTTTATCACTTCAGATATTATTTACAGGGTCAGAATACAATTGTAGGTCTCTTTATTCTTAAACACAAATGTTCACACAACTTTAAGCTTTATAGTGATGTTATCTGGCGTATCTCTTTATGAATTGACCCCTAGTCTCTGTACAAGTTGCATGTATGTGGAGGATATGAGCAGACTGATTAGAGCTAGTATTTTATGCTAAGTATAGTTTATCAGTTATTCAGCACAATTGTAAAAAACTTCTTTCTAAATGGCAAAATGTGAACAAAACTAGCTAAAATTGTATGAATTCTCTAATTTAGATAAAGTCTCAGGTGTGCTATTTTACGCTCAATTTTGATTTCTATTTGCCAATTGCCACGGTTTTTATTTAAATAAACCACCTATTTAAGGAAGTCACAATATATACCTGGTGTTTTCAAAGTAATTTGACCTTTTTTGATCGTGCTTAAATGGTTAAAGTTGAAGTAACCGTTTGAAAACATTTTAGGGCTTATTCACTAAACAGTGAATTACACTGAACATTCAGTGACATTGAATATTTTAGGTAAAAATAGCGGCATTGTATATATTCTGTTTCAACAATTTTCTTTTCCATCAGTTTTAGCCTTAATTTTGAAATGTAGGTGAATAAATCTGATGACTTGTAAATATTTATCAACATTTTTTTTTTTTTTTTGGTGCTAAAATCACCTGGTCCCCTTTAACCCTTTAAGGACACAACTTCTGGAATAAAAGGGAATCATGACGGAATATTTCCATCATGTGTCCTTAAGGGTTTAACATTGAAAATACCATTACTAAATACTGCGGGGTGTCGCTCATAATACATACCTAGAAAAATATTTTGGATGTGGCAACTATAATTAGTACCTGCATGTGTAAAATTAGTCTGGTTTCTAGAGGTATTTTCTGCAGACCATCTATTTTACCTAAAAACAAAAGCCTGAAAAAGAATATATATTTATATTACAGGGGAAAGTTCCTTTCCACCCCAAAATAAATACAATGCTTTTGACAAGGGAATTACATACTTTAGTCTAAAATAGCCGATTCAAAAATATTTCTCAACTTGTTTATTTTATTTATTGAGGTAAATTTTCAATTCCATTGTCAGTTATCCATAATTCCCAATTCAATGAATAATTCTGTTCATGTGTAGTCAAGGCAGTAACCTGACTGGTATGATGACTTACACTTATCAATCTAGTTTAACCTTTTAATCATGACATTCTAGACTTGTTGGTCCTGAAGTGTTTAAATGTGTAATGAAGGTAATGAAGATCGCTTTGGAGAATCGTAGATGTGGGGAAATGTCATTGTTTTCTTTTCAGATCCATCATATTTTTTGAAACATACACAATCTTTATGCTGTTGTGTCATTGATGAAAAGTGCTGGCCTGTAGTATATAGCAATCACATTCTAACATGTTTTCAACAAAATGTATCTAGAAATAAGTTTTGAGTAATGATCATCTTCCATAAAGTTTTACATATTGCTTTACATCACTTTTCATATGCTATCCATCAGACTCTAGAACTGAAGTGTGTCCAGAAATATCACGTGGATCTGGCACTCTGAATTAGAGTCAAAGCTCAACAGCAGTTAAATGCAGGTTACAATTCACTCGTGGATGAGATATTAAGTCCATATAACATTTGGAGTCAGTGGTTCAGAATCCTCATAGTTTTGTCACTGTGTTAATTGTATTCTGGTCATTTTAGATGTCTCGGCCTATGGAGAAAAATATAGCTGTAATCGGTGCTGGAATTAGTGGCCTTGCTGCCTTAAAATGCAGCGTCGAAGCTGGAAATCGGACCACCTGTTTTGAAAGAAGTGACAATGTGGGGGGTCTTTGGGGTTTCACAGTGAGTTGATTCATATGTTACACAAATTATGTTTTTCACTAAATTATTTATGCAGTGTTCTATTTTGTGTCTTTTAACCAATTAATTTTATAAATAATAATGTGACTTATATTTGGATATAATATTATACAACTGGGTTCTTGATTTACAATATTATAGAGTGCATTTATTGTGGTTATGTGCTGAGTTTTCTATGTTCATGTGGGCAATGAACTTGTGAATGAGCAAATAATTTTTTGAACGTAGATCTCTCTGATAAAGATTTTGTCATTAATAACTATTTTAGGCATAGTGCTAAAATAATAGATAATTGAAGATTATGCTAGCTTTAGTGTACTAATAATCTTAATTTTAATAAGGACAGGAGGCGAGTATTTTGCATTAACTCTCTTTACTAAACTCCACAGCAGTAAAGAAAAACGTAAAGAGTAACAAATAAATCACTGAGCAGCATAGTATATAAGGGTCATGCTGCCTGTACACTTCCTCTTTCTTAAAGCGACATCCAAGTCCAGATAGAGCTCGAACATCCAGAAACTCAACGAAACAGGTAACTGCGGTCTCTGGCGAGCGGAACTTGAGGAGACTCCTGGTAACGAGATAGGAGGAAAGACCAAACGAAGCCGTCATCCCATCTTACGGAGTCGTGAGGTTAACGAACCAGCGACCAGTGGAGGTCCTGAAGAGGGTTACACTGAAAGGAGAGTATAAAATCGGTTAGGTACTGAACCGTAACTGTTCACGCCTGTGGGCTTTAACAGAATTGTGTAAATTAGACAGTACAGACAGATTGTAAGCTGGCCATAGGCTAAATATGTGTAGGTGTAAGCATGTTGTACAACTAAACTGTCCGTCTAGATGGAAACACTGGGAATAGAGATGGAGGGGATACCGAATATGTCCAGAAGATAGTGGAACCACAATATGAATCCCAAAATCCATCACCTTAAGATCCACTCCCCCGAGGAGTCAGGGTAGGGAACAAAAGGGAGGGAAAATACTCGCCTCCTGTCCTTATTAAAATTAAGATTATTAGTACACTAAAGCTAGCATAATCTTCAATTTTATAACATGACAGGAGGCTTCCTATTTTGCAATTTTAACGCTGAAGAAGTGACATCCCAGCAGAAGGGGGAGTGCGAAAATAAAATGTACGAAAAGTGGATTCCCTAGACCAGTCCGCCGTTCTGAGAATATCTGAGAGGGACGCCCCTGCCAGGAAGGCAGATGAAGCCGCCGCACCACGAACGGAGTGGGCACCGAATGCGGGGTCTATACCTGCGAGGGAAAGGATCCAGCGGATCCATCGGGCCAAGGTGGTGACCGAGACTGGGGCATGAGGGCGCACGTAGGAGACTAAGAGTTGGCCCGACGTAGAGGACTGGAGCGAGGAGGTAACCGAAACATACCTGCGGAGGGTGGACACGACGCAAAGCTGCGGGTCGTCGGGAAAAAATGGGTAAAAGACCGAGGTCGAACCCGACTTAGTGCGACGGGAAATGTGAAACGTGACCCCTTCAGGGGCCACTTCGAAAGCGTCCACGTCGAAGGCCCGAACGTCCGAAACCCGTCGGAAAGATACGAGACAGAGGAGGAAAGCGCACTTAGCGGATAGTTGGCGTAGGGAGAGGCGGTCATTCGGAAGCCAATCCCTGAAGAAGCGGAGAACCAGTCCCACATCCCATAGGTGAGGGTATCTGGGGGCCGGGGGACGGCGGAGCCGCATACCGCGGAGTAGACGGCAGACCAGAGGGTCTTTGCCGACCGGGAGATCCCCGACGGGGGTGTGAGCCGCCGAAATCGCGGAGCGCACGACGTTGACCGAACGGTAAGAGCGGCCAGATGAAAACAAGGAGGAGAGAAAATTAAGAATCATGGGAATAGGTGCTGTAAAGGGATCGGAGTCCCGTTCCATGCACCAAGTAGACCAGGAGGCCCAAGCTGAAAGGTAACAGCGTCTAGTTCCCGGGGCCCATGAGTCCCATAAGAGGTCCCTAGCAGCCTGCGATAGTCCGCTGACTCGCCAGGAACCCCGGAAAGAGACCAAGCCACCAGGGGTAGCCGGTCTTCCAGGAGTAGTGGGTGGAGATGCCCTTTGGGATCCGTGAGCAGGTCCGGGAAGGATGGTAGGAGAAGAGGGTCCCTGTAGGAGGAGGCCAGGAGGTCCGGGAACCATGGTTGGCTCTGCCACAAGGGCGCTATGACAACCAGTTTGATCTGTTGCATCCGTATCTGGTGTAGTGTTCTCGCAATCATGGAGAATGGGGGAAAAGCGTAGGCTCCTGTCGACGGCCATTGTTGGAGAAATGCGTCTGTCGCCTTGCTCTCCGGGTCCGGGAGCCAGCTGAAGAACTCCGGGGTCTGGTGATTGTTGTGAGAGGCAAACAGATCCAGGTGAAAGGGACCCCTCCGGGCTGCAAGGGCCCTGAAGATTCTCGTGTTTAGCTTCCAGTCGCTGACGTCTCTCCAGTGGCGAGAGAACCAGTCGGCTGTGAGATTGATTTCTCCTGGCAAGTATTCTGCCTGTAGCGTGATGTTGCGAGGGAGGCAATAGTCGAAAATACCTCTCGTGATATCCGACAGCAGGCGAGAGCGAGCGCCTCCCAGGCGGTTGATGTACTGGACTGCGGATACATTGTCCATGCGCAGGAGGATGCAGCAGTTGGATCTTTCCCGGGCCAAGCTGCGAATCGCGAAGGATCCTGCCAGGAGTTCGAGGCAATTGATGTGCATGGAGAGCTCCTGCGCCGTCCATGTTCCCCCCGTGGAGGTGGTTCCGTTGGTGGCACCCCATCCCCACAGGCTGGCGTCTGATTCCAGTATGAAGTCTGGGGCGTCTCCGAATATGGCCCTGCCATTCCAGGCTTGCATGCTGTCCAGCCACCATGATAGTTCCTCGCGAACCTCCGTCGTCACCGGGACGGGTTGGTCGTAAGTGGGCCTGCGGCGTAGGTATTTCGCCTTGAGACGTTGCATGGCCCTGTAGTGGAGGGGACCTGGAAATATGGCCTGAATGGAAGCCGAGAGGAGTCCTACAATCCTGGCCAGATTGCGTAGTGGAATGGAATCGAGACGGAGAACCCTGCGAATCTCCTTGCGAATGGCTGTGATCTTTGAGGCTGGTAGCCTCAGAGTGCATGTCGTCGAGTCGATCTCGAAGCCGAGGAATTGTATCGTCTGGGTAGGGGTCAGCTCCGATTTCTGTTGGTTTACGATAAAACCCAAAGACTCCAGTAGGGATACTGCCAGGTGAGTGTGTTGGCGTAGTCTGTGTTCGTCGGCGCAGAAGATGAGGAGATCGTCTAAGTAGATGATGCATCGAATGCCCCTTGATCTTAGGTGGGCCACCACTGGTTTTAGGAGTTTGGTGAAGCACCATGGGGCTGAGCTGAGCCCGAAAGGGAGGCAAGTGAATTGCCAAGGGCGTCCGTGCCAGAGGAAGCGTAGGAGTGCTCGACAGTCCGGGTGTACCGGGACTGACAGATACGCATCCTTTAGATCGAGCCTGGTGAACCAGTCGTTGCTTCGAAGAAGGTCTCGCAGGAGGTGGATGCCTTCCATTTTGAAGTGGCGATAGACCACATATGCGTTGAGGGCGCGTAGATTGATGACGGGGCGGTATTCTCCCGACTTTTTCCGAACCAGGAAGATGTTGCTGAAGTAACCACCCCCGTCGCGGGCCGGCTGGATAGCCCCTTTGTCTCGGAGCTCGCGTAGCTCCGTGTTGACAAGGTTGTGGTCGGAGGGTGACATGTGGATGGGGCGAGGGGGCTGAACCTGAAAAGGGGTCCCCACTAGGTCTATGATATAACCCTGTACAGTTTGTAGGATCCATGTGTCTGAGCATAGGGCGGCCCAATTCTGGAAAGAAAGGGAAATACGGCCCGCAGTGCGGGTACATGGTAACAGTGGAGGAATATGGGTCCTTACCTGCGGTAAAGCGGGAACGTCCGCGTCCGCGACCTCTATCCGAGCCTCTGGAAAAGGGTTGCTGCCGGTAGTCTCTTGTCGGGTAAAATGGTGTTGGTTGGGTGCGGGGGCCTGAAGGCCAAAATCGGCTGGCGGCACGGCCCCGTTGCCGGCCAGCCCTTCCAAAAACCCCTCTGGTAGGGTTGCTTCTGAAAACTCTGTGCATTGAGGACTGCGCTTTATTAAGGGAGGTGAACACGTTTACGTGTTTGTTGAGTTCCTTGAGGAACGGTTCACCAAATAGTTTCCCTTGTGCCTGGGGCCCAATCTCCTTTGTGCCAAGGTCTGCCAATTTGCCGTTAATACGGTACAACGCTGCTTTTCTTCTCTCCGAAGAGAGCGTAACATTAGTGTTTCCGATTAAACAAAAACACCGTTGTGCCCATTCACGAACATCATGCGCCCATTCCCTGATGTCCTCAGCGGAGAAGGAATCGGCTTTGGTGTAGGCATCATCAGCCAGATACATAATGCGAGCCAGGGGGCCTACAGAATCCAGCAGGTTATCTTGGGCGCCCCATAGGCCTTTCTCCACCCCTCGGCGAGGGTCTCTACCACTGCGCGTCATGAAGGTTGACATAACCTTATCGAATTCCGGGATCTGAGCGACCTTATCCGGCAGGGAAGGGCGTGGGCATTCAGACCTAAGACGGCTGCGGACCTCTTTCTCCAGAGGTTTGCGGAGCCACAGGTGCATAAACCTTGCAAGGTGTTCTGGAGGCGACCAGTCACCTGATCTGGAGTGCCGAATGTTGCGGGGGTCGAACATCACCTGGCCTGAGGGGTCCAAGATGGCGTCTGAATCAAGAGGAGGCTCTGCGTCCGCAGTGTCCTCAGCATCTCCTCTCTGGGCCGCACCCAGTAGGGTCTCTCGCATAAAAGCGGAGACAGATTTCTCGTCCGAGCCCCATGCGTCGTAGTCCGAGTCAGAGGCGTCAGCTTGCCATTCATCCAGCACTGACATGGACTGTGCGTCCTGCTCTTCGTCTGAAGAGTACTCCTGACGCGGGGCCGGGGTGTGTAATTTGGCAGACTTGAGCTTGGCAGGTGCCTTACCCTTAGGCGGTTTGGGTGTGTAGTCTTCGCCTTTGTCATGGCGTTTTTTAGGGCGGGAATCCTCCCGTGCTTGGTGGTCGGACAATTCAGAATCCGATTCGTGGCGTGGACGTCTGCGTTTAGGTACGTCAGGAGCCGAAGCTCGGGCCTTGGAGAGTGCCTTCTCCACAGAGGCAGCGACAGCTGCGTTAATCATGGCCTGGAAGTCCACAGGGACGTTCTGGGAATCTTCCATGTTAGGGTAGGCTTATAGGTCACTGAGAGGCACAGCAATGAACGGGCACCCAGGTCTTGATAGTAGGCGTAGGGTCAGATTTGGAAGTATGGTGGGAACAAGCCCAGAATAACCCCAGCAGGGTATAGTAGTGACCTTATAAACTGGGGCTCACCCAGTTAGAGAGAACTGCCACAGCTAGTCTCCCAGTAAGCAGCGTCTTTATAGTGGGGGCTCACCCTGGTTGCACAGGGTTGGTACCCTTAAGTGCAGGCCACAATAATAATAAACAGGCAGCAGCACTGACCTGACTGACCCAGCCACAGGATAGCTTGATAGAAGCAGATGAGGCACAGAGACTGAGTAGCAGGTTGAAAGCAGCAGATGGAGTTGCTGGAACAGGTAATCCTTCAGTCACAGGGGTGTCAGCCACAAAAGGTGTGAAAAACAGCAGCTTAGGAGGTAACAGCAAGCTAACACAGCCACCCTGAGTCCCTAATGAGATGCACGAGGCAAAACTAAGATGGCCGCGAGAATCTCGCGATGTCCGCGATCCAAAATGGCGGCCGCGAGGTAGGCCGCAAGCCGGGGACTAAATTTTGAGGCCGGCCGCGGGCGGAAGCGGGCCGGCGCGAAAACGGCTGCGAATAAAACCGGCCGCAAGGAGGAAGCCCAGGAGGGCACTCCAGGGTAGGGGGGCAGAGGGGGGACCTGGGGAGACCAAGGGGAAGCCCAGAGAGGGTCCCAGGAGGCACAGAGGGGCAGAAGGAGGTAGGAAAACCCACAGAAAGCCCCTGGTCCCCCAGCCCTGGTATAGAACAAGGAAATAAAAGGAAAGGCTAAAACAATGATGATAAAGAATGTTGAAATAGCAGGAATAAACAAGTATTACACTAAATGAATAACAAGTAGTGACAATAAATGTATAAAGCTCCAGGGGAGCAAATATTCTGACCTGTCTGCGACGGAGCAGTAAAGAAAGAGGAAGTGTACAGGCAGCATGACCCTTGTATACTATGCTGCTCAGTGATTTATTTGTTACTCTTTACGTTTTTCTTTACTGCTGTGGAGTTTAGTAAAGAGAGTTAATGCAAAATAGGAAGCCTCCTGTCATGTTATAAAATTAAGGGCTATGGCCAAAGGCTTATATTTTCACCTGCATATGTTATAATTTTATAATGTATGCAAGTCTTGCAAAATGTATCAAATAGATTTGAAAGAACACCCTGAAGTTAGAAATAAATCCATTTATTATTAAAGAAACACTCCACTGCCCAAATGGACAAATGGATTGATCAGTATTGCTTCAGACCTGAGGAAGAGAGGAAACTCTCGGAAGCTTGTCTTTGAAATATTATGTTAGTCCAATTAAAATGGTATCATTGCATACTGTAATACTCTGGTATTTTGGCATCTTGTCTACTGGACTAATACGGCTAATCCAATCTACAAACTATATATAGCTGCACTCACCTAAATGCTGCTGCCGGCCAATTTTGTATACAATACACAAGATCCAGCGCACTCACGTATCCACTAAAGAGCAACTTCAATGTTGACAGATTTTATTAGTTGTTGTGTTTTTTTTTTTTTTTTTTTTTACAAAAACATCTAATCTAGGCAAAAATAATGGGGGTTTAGTTCCATTATATGAACATACATTGCATAAGCCTGCCACAACGTCAATGTACCCCATCTTTTATTTTTATTTTTTTTTAAACCTAATCTAGGCAAAAATAATGAGGGTTTAGTTACATCATATGATCGTTATGGCAGGCTTATGCAATGTATGATCATATAATGTAACTAAACTTCTATGGTCTACTTTTCCAGGAGCTTCAGGCCGTTTGTGAGTAGGATTGAGTAACAGAGCTTCAATAAAAAAGTAATCTGTCTTTACATTAGAATATTTTACTAATATATATTAGTTCATAGAATAAGAAATGTACTTTAGTCTTCTAACTTATGTTATTCATTATTTAAAACTTTAAAACTAAAATGTGCTGGAATAGCCCAACTCCCTAGTCGTATCTCTAGTCATAGTCCCTATGACGGTTTACTCATTTTTGTCATGTTGAATGAGGAGTTTGACGCATTTCTGGTTCTACACCAGTTTTTCTTTCTCCACATATTCTAATTTTAGTTTTTTGAATATAGGATTATGCAGAAGATGGGAGGGCAAGTATCTACCGCTCTGTATTCACTAATGCGTGCAAAGAAATGATGTGTTATCCAGACTTTCCAATACCTGACGAGTACCCCAATTTCATGCATAACACTCTGTTCCTGGAGTACTTGCGTCTATATGCTGAAAAGTTTGACCTTCTAAGGCAAATCAAATTTAAGGTATTTGCATTGTTTATGGATCACTTAGGTACCTTTTGATTTTAATATGCAATATTCTGTAACCAAACTTAATTTATTTACTATCTGTTTCTTGTCTTCTTTTTATCAACTAGACTACTGTGGTCAGTGTAAAAAAATCAATCGATTTCACGGAGACAGGCAAATGGGATGTAGTTACAGAGTGTGACGGAAAGCAAAAATTGACCACCTTTAATGCAGTGCTTCTGTGTACAGGCCATCATGTGTACCCAAACCTACCCCTTCAATCTTTTCCTGGTATGTCATATTTGCATATCTAATTGTTGAAGCACAATCAACATCACAGTATTTTCATTTTTCACATTTGAGTCAATTGTAGATGTCTTAATGCTAGTATGGAGAAATTCAAAGTAGAGAAAGGCGATGGAGAAAACCTAATACTGGTCTTGAAGAAGCAGATGCTTCTTAGTAGGTGATAAGAGGATACTTGAGAACAGATATGTTCCTGCAGTCAAGTCATAGTCAGGAAACCAGATATCTGGAAACCTGTATGTACTTGTCAGTGGTTAGTGAATGCATCAGACTGGTCTAGGGATGTGCATGCTTTCTGTCAACATGGAAATATTTGTATCTCAATTGAACGCCTTGGCACTTTTGAGAAAAAAAATTGCATTAGGAATTGATGGACTACATTCACAGTTTGTGGTTTTTGTTTTGACTGTATATATAAAAATAGGCAATGTTAAAGTAATTTATAAAACTTAAAAGCATATTATTTGATTAAAACAAAATGGTAGTTGGATACTAAATCATGAATTGTGATATGCTGAAATGTATATAGATAGTTAAAAAACATAGCTGATGCAAATTCTCCATTATTTTATTTATTAATTTTTTTTTTTTTATTCTGAAAATTCTCTCATGACCTGTGTGTGAGAATATATACTCTCTATCTATCTGAAATTTCACTGGCAGTAAAGCTTGTGGCCACATATACACAGTGTGTATACTTGCTGTGTTTCTGGCCATAATCAGAAGATGACTAGTAGTGGGGGGGAAATTAGATACAACAAGGAAGGTGCAGTAGTGTATGATACAATTTTGTTGAGAAGAGGGGGCTGAAAGAATGAAAGCACATTTAATTAAAATGAAGTATTTATATAAGATCACTGATTGAGAAATTGCATTCTTTAGCTTTTCTGGCTTGGTACATGAATAATAATAGAAGGTTCTATTAACCACCCTCAAAAAAATTAAGAAATTTAATAAAAAAAAAAAAAAAAGACAGCATATCAAGTTCTAGTTTTGGTCAACAATCAGACTTGGATTTACAGGTTTCTCTTCAGGTGAACTAGTTTAATTTTTGTAACTTTTTATTTTTTTATTTTTTTATTGATACAACTGTACTAAGGTAGGGTGAAAAACATTGTAGGCACTATGTCTCTTTTTCTCATTGAATTGGTTATAGTGCCCAGGTGTTCTCCATTCATTGCTAAACTATTTTTAAAGCAGTTGAAACTTCCCACAGTCATGCCCTTACACACTGCATGTGTAGCTATAACAAAGATTACACACTTCATTCTAACCATACCTGTGAGAGGCTGAAGGCGGTCAGCTGACATTCTCAGCCACTGTTGCCTATGCTTTCTCATTAGCCCAAGCAGCACAAAGGGGTGAGCTGCTTTGAACTCTTGTATAGAATTAAAACAAACATTAAAAACTATTTGGCATTGAATGGAAAGACAGTCAGGGGACTCCGGACACACTAGCTACTTAAATAAGATCAAATAGATTCCGTGCCTGCAGTGTCCATTTACTAACAACTTCTCTAGAGGGGAAAATCAGATTATATAACTTCTGTTTTCAAATTGTCCTTATGAAAGGTCATTTTTCAAATTGCCAGTGCATGTGATTCATTTTTTATTTTTAACATTATTTTAGAAACATATTTTTGTATAAACACATTGTGACTTTTGTGAACACTCGTGATTCTGTAGTAAAACATGTTATTCATTTTAATCACAAGCATTGCTTGATTTCTCCACTTTTTAACTTGGTGTGAAAAAGGCAAAAAGCCATGCTTTTTTTATTTTTTTATTTACACGTTGTATCCCAGATTTCTTATTCCTATTATTTCAGGAATCGATAAATTTAAAGGTCAATACATGCATAACCGAGATTACAAGGAACCTGCCCGTTATACCGGGAAACGTGTGCTTATAATAGGACTGGGAAATTCAGGAGCTGATATAGCAGCTGAATTGAGCCGCACAGCTGAAAAGGTAGAGTTTGATGTGACAACTTTACAGTAGGTACAAATTTAAGATTTTTGTTTTGTGATAGTTATAATGCATGTATCAAAATACACCAGATTTTTTTACATTATTGTCACAGTATCCTATTGTATCATTGAGGAAAAATATCAGAGAGACCAAGTTTTGCCATAGTAGTCTTTCCAACAGTTTTCCATGCCAATGTCATTGACAGCCTGCCAGTTTAATTTGTAGCTAAACCCACCAACCAAATAGCAAGAACTGCAGCACGTTTATCCAATATCAGGGTACTTATCAAAGCTTGATAAAGACCATAATAGGTTGAAACATTACTATGTGAAGGCACAAGAAAGGGAATTTGATTTTTATTAGACATTTGCAGTTTCTTATCCAAAGTTCTTAACTCAAAGATGCTATATAACCGAATCACAAATAATTTCTGTCTGGCACCAAAAAAGAGAGGGTTAATGGGGAAAAGGGCTGATTGATGACAATGATAACCACACTAAATGCTGATTTGATTCACAGATCAAGTGAAAAATGACCAGTAGGGAGGAATGAGGGATATATAAAAAAAAATACTGTAAAAAAGAGAGCCCCAAAAAAATATAATACTAATTAGAAAATAAATTTTAAACCGTATCACTAATATACACAGTCTTGTGATACCTCAAACATATAATTAAACTAGCAGCTAAGACACAGTAAGAACTTCCCAAATTCTGAGAATTGAATTTGCAATATATATAGTGTCAGCGCTTAATGAATCTGTCCCTATGAGTTAATCTCAGGGATACCATAAAAACAATTTTATACAATAAAATAACCTGATAGAGATATATATATATATATATATATATATATATATATATATATATATATATATATATATATATATTCCAAAGTCTTGCATAAACTTAAAAATAAACAGATGAAAAAATAAAATAGTCACAAAGGGGAATAGGCAAAATCTGTGTCCATATCAGTGTTGAGTTCCGTGGTAACCTGGTTGTACATTGGGAATTAAAGAAACAAAAAATAGTGTAGCACTGTATGTTTATTGCCCTTATACGCAACACCTCCCTCCCCAAGTCAGAAACTCTTACAGAATAAAAATGTGGTACTTTATCTCTAAGGACCACTTTCTCAGTGGTCCTTAGAGATAGAACCACTGACATACATAGCACTTTGGTTTCATACAGGGGGCTCCAGTATCTAGCGAGACTTACTCCAGTGTTCCTCCAGGTTCAGATCGTGAACAGTCAGCTTCAGTGCACGAGGCAGAAGCTGTTTCCTCTGAGGATCGGTTTTCTCTATTACTTCTTCTCATTTGATCTGTTATGCAAATGGTACCAAAATGCACCTCTCAGTGTACTGCACGATATGGAAATTTTTGCACACTTTTGGTTTGACAGAATCTTTTTTTATTTATTTTTTTTTTATTTTTTATTTTTTATTGAAATTTTATCTGAACTAACACACCATACAAATGAGTTCAAGACCACTTTAACTAATTTTAGAATTAATTTGGCAGAATCTAATTTTTTATTTTTTTGCCATGCACATGACGAAAGCAGTCTTTTTTTGCCACAACTCTAAGGTTAGCATGTGGTATTGCCTCAGAGGGGATATGATAACATTATACAAATATCTCTGGTGTCAATACAAACCAGTGTGTGAAATCTATTCACAAACAGGGCTACACATAGGACACAAGGTAATGCGTTTGGACTGGAAGAAAGAAGATTTAGTTTAAAGCAAAAGAAAGTGTTTTTTTTTTTTTTTTTGTTTTTTTTACCATAAGAAAAATAAGGATGTGGAATTCTCTGCCTGAAGAAGTGGTTTCATCAGAGTCCATACGGATGTTTAAACAGCAACTATATGCATACTTGCAAAAACAGAATATTCAATAATATAATTTTTCAACTGTAGGGTAATAGCTTATTGATCCAAAAATACATCTGACTGACATTCTGGGGTCAAGAAGGATTTTATTTCCTAGTTTGTTGCAAACTTTGAAGTGGTTCAAACTGGCTTGTGTTGCTTTCTTTTCAATAAACAGCAAAAAGCAGATGTAAGGAAGGCTGAACTTGATGTACACATGTCTCTTTTCAGCCTATGTAACTATATTGGAGAGATACCCCTTTGACCAATTGTAATGTCAAAATACATCTTCAATGGTTTTGTCACTGTTGTGTAGCATATAACTGTAAGATCTGATGCTAAACATCAAGATCTAAACTACACTGTACTGCTTTAACCCCCCAAGACCGGAGGGCGTACTATTACGCCCTATTTTAGGCGGTTCTAAACGCCACCGGGCGTAATAGCATGCCCTCCGTTTTTTTTTTTGTTTTTTTTACTTACCCGGTCGCCGGCGATCGCGGTTGGCAGGACTCCCAGGGAGCCCCCCCGCGGCACGTCCGACCTCCTGAAGCCCCCCCAGCCATGTGAGGACCTCACAATCACATGGCCGGGTTAGCTGCCTGCTTCATTGCCGACAGGTAGTCTCCCTGCTGGCTGAATTTAAAGAAAATAAAAGTTAATAAAGTGTAAAAAATAAATAAATAAATACTTAGATTTTATTTATTTATATATATATATATATATATATATATATATTTATCAAATTACACGTAGACTGATACTGATTAAATATTATATATATAATATTATATTTATAATATAAAAAATATGTAAATACGTAAAAAAATAAAAAAAATAATTAAAAATAAAAATATATAGATGTGTTATTTCGTTCTAACTGTATTGTGATATTAATATAAAGATTTATATCAAAATACACATAGAACAAAATAATATATCTATATACATAAATATATACGTATATATCACTTTATATATACCTATATATAAATAAAAATATATATTTTTAAAAAAATATATACATATATTAATTCTACACATATATTTATGTAATATTTTTACATAATTAGGTATCTTAATTACAATTAGCAGGACCTGTCTGACAACCCATGCCGAAAGTAAAGGGAATTTAATTTGCTAGCACTATATTTAACCCTATAACTTTCCAAGACACCATAAAACCTGTACATGGGGGGTACTGTTCTACTCGGGAGACTTCGCTGAACATAAATATTAGTGTTTCAAAACAGTAAAATGTATTACAACGATGATATCGCCAGTAAAAGTTACTTTTTTTTCATTTTTCACGCACAAACAGCACTTACACGGACAATATTATTGTTGTGATACTTTTTACTGTTTTGAAACACAAATATTTGTGTTCAGCGAAGTCTCCCGAGTACAACAGTACCCCTCATGTACAGGTTTTATGGTGTTTTCAAAAGTTGCAGCGTCAAATATAAGGCTTGTGTTTCATTTTTTTTCACATTAAAATTCGCCAAATTGGTTAGGTTGCCTTTGAGACCCTATGATAGCCCAAGAATGAAAATTACCCCTATGATGGCATACCATTTGCAATAGTAGACAACCCAAGGTATTGCAAACTGGTTATGTCCAGTCTTTTTTAGTAGCCACTTAGTCACAAATACTGGCCAAAATTGGCGTTTTTTGCATTTTTCACATGGAAACAAATACTAACGCTAACTTTGACCAAATGGCTACTACAAAAGACTGGACATACCCCATTTGCAATGCCTTGGGTTGTCTACTATTGCAAATGGTATGCCATAATGGGTGTAAATTTCATTTCTGGGCTACTATACAGTCTCAAAGGCAATATAACCTATCTGGCGAATTTCAATTTCAAATGTAACGTGCTATATTTGACCCTGTAACTTCCCAAAACGCCATAAAAACTGTACATAGGGGGTACTGTTTTACACGTGAGACTTTGCTGAATACAAATATGTGTATTTTATTGCAGTAAAAGCAAACAGTATTATGACCTTGACCATTAATGTCATGTAGAACAAAAAAAATCTTTTCTACAATTTTTCATATTAAATTATGTTTCATAGCTAACTATTTGATATTAAATGAAAGCCCTGTTTCCCCTGAATAAAATGATATATAATAAGGGTGGGTGCATTTACTATGAAAGAGGTGAATTGCGGTTGGACAGACATGTAGCGCAAATGCCAGGTTTTGTTTACATTTTGTTTTGTTCATTTGGCTCAGTCCTTAAGGGGTTAAATATCTCTCATCCTGACTATTATTTGCAATTTGATCCACACGCATGTTCTACAGCAGTTTTTTTATGGTGTGTAAAGCTGCAGTGGTGCATCTATCCATGGTATTTTGTTTGGAAGCATTACAGGCAAATTTTTAATGACTTTTTTGATTAAAAAAATAAATAAATAAATGATTAAACATATTCTTCAGGTCTTTACAGTGAAAAGGAGAGCTTCATTTTCCATAAGTCAGAGTAGGCATCTGCCTTATAACAGTTGCCTGTTTCAAGAATTTATAATGTACCATTTTGAAGCTCTGGTCAGCTGGTGGAGAGAGCCTTAGTCCATATACTTACTAGTCTAGTCAGCCTCCTATGCTTGATAGAGCTGCCAGAGCAGTTATATGGGGTGTAAAATCCAGTGTGCCCCAGTTCCTACAGTGTCTGTCTTTGAGGATGTATAGAATGTGGAAGTGATCTATTCCCATCTGTTTACTAAAAGCCTCTCACACAGGAAATACCATGCAGTAGTAGCAGCAATAAGTGATGTATAAGTCATACGGGATAACTGTTCTTGCAGTTCTACATTTACTTGTAGGAGAATGACCACTACAGAAGACAGGGGATCACCTAACTCTAACCTTAAAACCCAATAATCATTAAAAAAAAAAAAACCTCTTTACCACAACTGTAACTCATCTGAAGATGTAAGTCCTCTTAACACTAAAAGCCTTGTGTAAACTAGCTCTGATTATATATATATTTTGAAGATGAGAGCACTCAGTGGATTTTTAAAGAAACAAAGTGTATTTAAATGTTGCCAATGGGGATCAACGTTTCGACCTAAGGGTCTTTTTATCAAGATGGCAATACAGTGCTTAATTCACATATCACTCAATACCAGCTCTGAGGTTTCTTGTCTTTCCTTAGATTTTGATCACCATTTCTCGTTTACTCTCCGTATTGGTTTTGTGTCACTGTTTCCTCACATTGTCTTTTTTTGTCACAGTTGTTACTTTTCCACAGTAGTTACACCATTCACCTGCGCTCCTCAGTATCACACTTTCTTTTTCTCCATCACACTCACTTCTTTTACTCTTCATTTCACCTTTACTCATCACTCTATGCTTTAACCAGTTCCTAGACACCTGATTTTCCTCCATGGTTAGATTTTATTATTGATACTTCTATTATACTCTCGGTACTCCCGATCCCTCATGTTCACTGCATTACTTCCGTCAACAGTCTTTAGTCGCTATGACAACGATTTGCGTGGATAAGTCACCACGCCATCACGCACGGGTCACTTCCGGGTTAACGAGCTCTGTCCACTCACCTCGATCACCTGCACAGGGTAAGGCACTAATATTTGTTTTACAGACACTATATAAACACAAATTAAGAACTGTATTGCCATCTTGTTATTGAAACGTCGATCTCCATTGGCAACATTTAAATCCACTTTGTTACTTTGAAAATCCACTGAGTGCTCTCATCTTCATTATTTATCTTCACATATTCAGCACAGAGCAGCACCTTGGTGTAAGTTGTTTCTATTACTTCAAGATAGAGTGCCAGACTCATCGTTTTATATATATATATATAATTAGTGTTTTTAATCTGCTAATTATTTATTTGGGGAGGCGACCCATCTTGTCTAGGCAACAGGTGTAGTAATATGTATTTTAGTCATTCATGACATTGAGGTAGAAGAATAGATGTAAAATAGGTTAATGCAAGCAGTAGTAAATAGTTTTTACATTCTAACTAATAGGAGAGTGGCTCTGGTCATCATATTCTACACTCAATGTGGTTCATATTTTAGGAGTCAAAAAATGACTGGTTAGCAATAAATTAATGTATGATCCTCTTTGCTGGAGTTACGTAGTAGACCAAGGTTTTAAAACCAGACACAAATTAAACATTATGTACTTCCTTCAGACCACCTCTGAGTGTATTACCATCACTTTATTATATTTGGCATGAAGTTGTTCAGATTTCGTTAATGCCTTCCATGCTTCAGTGGCTGTAGTTATAAAAGTTATGGATTTAAAACTGAATGAAATACTGATCCTTGGAAAGACCTTCTTTGTATTTTGACATAGGGTTATTATTTTAGGGAGGTCCCTTGACCAATTTTAGAGGTAGATCTTTCCACCTCTATTCTACCATTCCTCCATCTTGCCTTACGTTCTTGAATCGTATATAGATCTGTTACACTTCTGCAAGCTATACCTCTGCAGTTAAGTTAAAATTAGATGGCTAGATATAGAAATTAATACTTTTTTTCTGTGCTAACTATAGTGGGAGAAAACTAAACTGCTCAGAGATTTTTATATATATTTTTTTTTAATGAAAATTACAAATGAGACAAACAACCTCTATATCTGAATAAACAAACCACACAATTGTAAAAATAGTCTTCTTTGGTTTAAAAACAAGCTAACATAATTTTCTTCAAAATACTGCACTATAAAAAACTGGTTAGAGATGTCCCCATAAAAAAATATATTCAAAAGTGCAAAGTAAAAACCATGTGATATCACAAAAAAAACAAAAACAAACTTGCATTTTACAACTAAAATCCAGAAGTAGGGGGGCGTGGCCAACTGCCGAAGTGAGCGTATGCATGGAGTGAAAGCTCCGGTCCTGAATGACTTGAAAGCCTGATTTAAACAAGCTGCACAGCCCTACCATTACCTGGTAAGCTACCGGACACGATCTACTCGATGGCACCTGCCAAACAAACAAAACTGACGGACCAAATCCGCCCTGCCAGAAAAGACAGTTTGTGGCCTATTCAAGATGGCGACGACGGCTCAGCCATCTGAAGCACCGCTGGAGTCAGACCAAGACGCAAGTCATTATACTGACGCTCCGGTCACCATAAAAAGGCTGTACGCCATGCTGCAAGACTTCAGAGTCACGCTCCAGTCTGATCTCAGGCGGGCGACAGGTGAAATTAAAAGAGTTCTCTGACCTGGGTGAGAGGACGAACCGGCTGGAAGCCTGCACAGAAAAAATATGCACAGAGCACGACACGCTCGCTGACACGGTGCACCAAATAGTGGAAGAACAGCAAATGCTTAAACGCAAACTAGCGGACTTGGAGGACCGGTCCAGGAGGAACAATGTCCGCTTCCGCTGTATTTCTGAAACGGTGAGCACAGATGAGCTATCAGCTTATATTACGGCCTGAACATAACAAAACACTACGGCCTGACATAACTGAGGAGGACTGGGTGCATGAATGGATGAATGTTAAGGGTCTTAACAGCCCTCACAAATGCAGACTAACAGCCCAGGAGATGACTAAATCCAGAGCGGCCATAGTGTGCTTGCAGGAGACTCCTTTTTTGCACATGCAAACCACCCTCCTTCAAGGTTAGGCAATTTCCCCAGGCCTACCATGCCATGTCCCGCACTAAATCTAAAGGGGTGTCCGTATATTTCCACAGGGACTGGGTATTCACTCCTACCACACATGTCAGTAAAGACGGTAGACTGCTCATATTAGTGGGCTTCTTGAACGGTCTCCAAATTACAATCGCCTCACTGTATGCCCCAAATGATACACAGAAATCCTTCCTGACCATGGCGTTACGCAAAATAGAAAAGTATAAAATCGGACACACTTTCATTTGCTGGGATTTTAACTGTACCCCGGTCCCGCTTATGGACATACAGAGGGCTCAAAACCAACCCCCCAAGCATGTGCCAGCCTCTCTACGCCGCCACTTAGCACATCTACTGCACTCTCACGACTATTACGATATATGGCGCAACTTGTATCCTGGCGCAAGGGACTACAAGTTTTATTCCCCAGTACACATGACATACGCTAGAATTGACCTCTGCTTATTTGATAAACGTACGCTACCACATGCCAGACACATGTATATAGGACCTATTACATGGTTGGACCATGCCCCACTAGTCAAAAGAGTACAGTATTACCAGTGGAACACATACATAAAGAAATAAAACGAGATTCTCATACACCTTAGTGAGTACCCTTCGCCCTCACATCAAACAAAGTTTACATACAATATACCCCATATTGTATGTAAACTTTGTTTGACATGCCCCACTAGTGATTACTATGAAAAATACCACACCTAGCCAGAGGGAGAGGCGCATGGCTTGGTGCTACTTCTAAGCGCTGTTTCTAAGTGTCTAGTTGGAGATATTCTGGAGAGTTTTACAGAAGCTTCAACTGTCTAAGAGTTGTGCTAAGAGCTTTCTTTTCTACTGTTACAGGTAAGATTCATCTGTAGGAAAAGGTTACTGATTGCACAAGGTTTGAATTCCTGTTGGTACTTATAAGGCATTTGATTTGATTAAGCTAGTTACTTGCTATTGATTGCTGGTTAATTAGCTATTGTTTGCAAATAAGCAGTGGCCTACTCAGATGTTAAACATTCCTAGTGGGGTGGTGATTTTAGGAGTTATATAAGGCTTGGTGTCATTAGCTTGTCTAATATAGATTGGTGCTACTTCTAAGTGCTGTTTCTAAGTGTGTAGTTGGAGATATTCTGGAGAGTGCTGTTTCTAAGTGTCTAGTTGGAGATATTCTGGAGATAACCTGGAGGTAATCTGAGGTATTCAGGAGGATAAATACAAAGTTAAGATTTGTTAGATTTAAATTATTCTCCTAATTGGAATGGCAGACTTAGTTCAGTGTAACAATTGCAATGCGTTTGTTTCACGTTCCACTTTTTGGAGGTTTGATTGTTGTCTAATCTGTAGACAGTTCTCTATCTTGCGGCAGGAGATTGTATTTTTGAAGTCTGAGATTTGTAAATTATCTGGTGAACAAATTCAGACTGGAACTGCTGCAAAGCAACTGTCGCAGAGACAAACTAGGAAAGGCAGATGGATTACTGTAGGATCTGGTAGACTTAGAGTTGTGGATAAAAGGCATTTTGCACAGTCTGTTGCTCTTCATAATTCATTTTCTGCATTTTCAGAGCGTAATGGTGTTGTGGAGAGAGGCACTGAGGCTAGTGGTGTTGTGGAGAGAAGCACTGAGGCTAGTGGTGTTGTGGAAAGAGGCACTGAGGCTAGTTGTGTTGTGGAGACCGGCTTGGAGACTATGGTGAGGCCTAATAGAAAGCAGTTGTTGTTGGGGGATTTCATTATAAGAGGTGTGGAGATGGACAATGGTGGTCTTGTGAGGTGTCTTCCCGGAGCTACTGCTCACAGAGACAGGAGATGTATCTGTAATATTGTTAAGCAAGCAAAGCAGGAAGGGGAATTGGATGTACTTGTCCATCTAGGGACAAATGACTTGGCTTGTAATGAGGTTTCAGAGGTTAAGGAAGTTTTTAGTGTTTTTGCCAATGATATACGGCAGGTTGCTTCCACACTGTCATTCTCTGAAGTTCTGCCTGTGCATAACACTCAGAACGACAGGCGGATGCGTATTAGGGACTTTAATTTGTGGCTTGGTGAATGGTGTCGGGAGCAAGGATTTGGCTTTATTTCTCATGGTAGCTCTGTTTGGAATGGAGATAAGCTGTACAAAAAAGATGGTTTGCATCTTTCTCAAAAGGGAACAAATGTTCTCAGTGAGCAGTTCAGAGGTTTTGCTAGGATGTATTTAAACTAGGAGGGGGGGCAAAAGGGTGATAAAACATCAATCCAATTGTCCCCCAAAATAAGATCCATGAACTTTTGGCAATAATGGCAAGTGATAGTGTAGATTTAGTTGCTGTTACTGAGACATGGTACAATGAGAAAAATGACTGGGACATAGCAATACCAGGGTACTCTTTATATAGGAAAGATAGGGAAGGCAAGAAAGGGGGAGGGGTGGCCTTGTATGTGAAGGATAGCATAAAATCTAACCTAATAAAAGTTAGTGAGGCAAACATAGAGTCCATTTGGGCTACGTTAGAATTTGGTAATCACACAGTAACTCGTGTAGGTGTGATTTATAGGCCCCCAGGACAAATTGAAGAGTTAGATAATCTACTAGTTGAGGAAATAACTTCCCCCTTCATTGCCATTTTAGCTATCATCATGGGTGACTTTAATCTTCCTGATGTAAATTGGAAAACAAAATTAGCTACTTGTGCCAGGAGCACACATATTCTAAACTCCCTACTGGGATTGTCTCTAAAACAAGTTGTTGAGGAGCCAACTCGTAAAGAGGCCATACTAGATTTAGTGTTAACAAATGGAGATTTGGTATCAGATATTACTGTAGGTGAAAGTATAGGATCCAGTGATCATCAGTCAGTGTGGTTTAATATAAGAACAGTGACTGAGTCACACCACACAAAAACAAAAGTTTTAGACTTTAGAAAAACAGACTTTTCTAAAATTAGAATATGGGTAGAGGAGTCATTATCAGACTGAAGCAATTTAAATGGAGTCCAAGAGAAATGGGATTATTTAAAAGTTGCACTATTGAAGGCAACAGAAAATTGCATTAGGCTTGTCAGTAAAAGCAAAAAATTCAAGAAACCACTGTGGTACTCCGCAGATGTGGCCAAAATAGTTAAAAACAAAAAGTTAGCATTTAGGAATTATAAAAAAAACCCAGAGTGAGGAAGACAAAATTATCTATAAGATTAGGCAGAAAGAGGCTAAGCAAGTTATAAGAGCTTCCAAATCACACACAGAAGAGAAAATAGCACAGTCAGTAAAAAAGGGGGATAAAACATTTTTTAGATACATAAATGAGAAAAGAAAAGTAAAACAAGGATTAATTAGATTAAAAACAAAAGAAGGAAGGTATGTAGAAGAGGATAAAGGTCTAGCTGACTGCCTCAATGAATATTTTTGTTCTGTATTTACAGATGAAAATGAAGGAAAGGGACCTCAGTTGAGAAAAAGGATAAATGAGTCATTTATTACACGTGAGTTTACAGAGGAAGAGGTTCTATTTCAACTATCAAAAGTAAAGACAAATAAGTCAATGGGACCTGATGGAATACACCCAAAGCTATTAAAAGAGCTTAGTGGTGTACTAGCAAAACCATTAACAGATTTATTTAACCAATCATTGTTAACAGGAGTAGTCCCAGAAGATTGGAAGTTAGCGAATGTTGTGCCCATTTACAAGAAAGGTAATAGGGAGGAGTCGGGCAACTATAGGCCAGTAAGCCTTACTTCAGTAGTGGGGAAAGTGATGGAAACCATGTTAAAGGATAGGATTGATGAACATCTAAAAACACATGGATTTCAAGATCAGAGACAACATGGGTTTACTTCAGGGAGATCATGCCAAACTAATCTTATTGATTTTTTTGATTGGGTAACTAAAATTATAGATCAGGGTGGTGCAGTAGACATTGCTTACCTAGATTTCAGTAAGGCTTTTGACACTGTTGCACATAGAAGGCTTATCAATAAACTGCAATCTTTAAGTTTGGATTCCAATATTGTTGAATGGGTAAGGCAGTGGCTGAGTGACAGGCAACAGAGGGTTGTAGTTAATGGAATATATTCGAAGCTTGGACTTGTCACCAGTGGGGTACCTCAGGGATCTGTACTTGGACCCATTCTCTTTAATATTTTTATTAGTGATATTGCAGAAGGTCTTGATGGTAAGGTATGTCTTTTTGCTGATGATACTAAGATATGTAACAGGGTTGATGTTCCAGGAGGGATAAGCCAAATGACAAATGATTTAGGTAAACTAGAAAAATGGTCAGAATTGTGGCAACTGACATTTAATGTGGATAAGTGCAAGATAATGCATCTTGGACGTAAAAACCCAAGGGCAGAGTACAGAATATTTGATAGAGTCCTAACCTCAACATATGAGGAAAGGGATTGAGGGGTGATTATTTCTGATGACTTAAAGGTAGGCAGACAATGTAATAGAGCAGCAGGAAATGCTAGCAGAATGATTGGTTGTATAGGGAGAGGTATTAGCAGTAGAAAGAGGGAAGTGCTCATGCCATTGTACAGAACACTGGTGAGACCTCATTTGGAGTATTGTACACAGTACTGGAGACCGTATCTTCAGAAGGATATTGATACCTTAGAGAGGGTTCAGAGAAGGGCTACTAAACTGGTTCATGGATTGCGGGATAAAACTTACCAGGAAAGGTTAAAGGATCTTAACATGTATAGCTTGGAGGAAAGACGAGACAGGGGGGATATGATAGAAACATTTAAATATATAAAGGGAATCAACACAGTAAAGGAGGAGACTATATTTAAAAGAAGAAAAACTACCACAACAAGAGGACATAGTCTTAAATTAGAGGGACAAAGGTTTAAAAATAATATCAGGAAGTATTACTTTACTGAGAGGGTAGTGGATGCATGGAATAGCCTTCCAGCTGAAGTGGTAGAGGTTAACACAGTAAAGGAGTTTAAGCATGCGTGGGATAGGCATAAGGCTATCCTAACTATAAGATAAGGCCAGGGACTAATGAAAGTATTTAGAAAATTGGGCAGACTAGATGGGCCGAATGGTTCTTATCTGCCGTCACATTCTATGTTTCTATGTGTGAGGAACTGACTCTGCTGGGTTTCGAACCCTGGTTTACATGGTGCTAAACCTTTTCCTTACCAGTAAACCAGCCTGCCTTTTGCAAATTTACCTGAGATCTGATACCATTGCTTGTAGAGTCAAGGTTATCAGTGACAACTCTCTTCAGCTGTGTCTGGTCAGGTGTCTGGTTCTTGGCCTATAAAAGCCACTTCCTGTCTCTGTACCTTTGCCAGATTATTGTGGTTCCTGTACTCTCTAATCAAGCGTGTTCCTGTTTCTCCTTCCTGTTGCTGAATTTGGACTGTTTTGACTTTGCTGCTTCTCCTTCCCACTGACCTCGGCTTGCCTCACTACGATTATCATCTTTCTGTTCCAGTCTCCCATCTCTGCTTAAGACCAGAAGGCCACTCAAGGCTCAGGGGCTCAACCACCTGGGTAACGAGTGGCTACCTCTGGCAGAAAACATTGCTGATCTGGCTACTGGACTCCAAAACTTTGTAACATCAATATCATTACACTATGTTTCTCAATGAAGCCCTGTTAGATAACAAACAATATCTTCCCCCAACTTCAAGCATTTCTAGACTCTTACTTTGAGGCACATATACACTGTGAAACCACACTCTCCACGCAATGGGTGGCCCATAAAGCAGTTATGAGAGGCGAGCTTATTAATCTGGGAGCCAACACCAAAAAAGCAACATGCACCGAGCAGGCTAGGCTGACTTGGGACATTGCTGCCATGGAATCCGCTCACAAAACAAATCCATCCAAGCAGAACCACAAACGCTTACAGACCCTTAACACAGAATTACACGACCTGAAATTTAAAACGATCGAAAAGTGCATGCGCTACATGAAACAAACCCATTACATGTGAGGGAACAAAGCAGGCAAACTCTTAGCCGGACGGCTGAAACAAAAATAACTCTAGCCTAAAATTCCCTACATAACCTCCAAACGAGGAGAGAAGCTTTACAATCCCCAGGACATAGTCGACAAAGTAGTGGCGTATTATGCATCGCTATATCAACTACACAAAGACCCAGAAACACATCAGCCTTTGGCTACAGAAATAGAGGCCTTCTTGGAGAGGATGCCTCTCCCCCACATCTCTCAAGATCAGAGCATGTACCTAGACAACCCCTTCACAGAGGTAGAACTCAGTGATGCCATTTACTCCCTCCCCAAACACAAATCTCCTGACCCAGACGGGCTCTCTAATTACTATTACATAAAATTTGCAAAGCAATTAGCTCCCCACCTGCTCCGACTATTCAATAATATCAAACAGTCTGGAACTATAGCCCGAGAAATGCTGGAGGCGTTTATTGTCACACTTCCTAAGTCTAACAAACCCCCCACTAATTGTGCCAACTTAGGACCAATTTCCTTACTCAATTCGGACATCAAGTTATATGCCAAAATGTTAGCAACAAGGGTCAAAACACTCTTTCCCACGCTCATCGCCACCGAGCAAGCAGGGTTCGTACCTAGGAAACAGGTGGTAGACCACACCCGCCACTTCAAACCTTATCGACTGGGCCAATCACTCCTTACAGCAGGGCCTAGTGCTGGCGCTGGACACCAAAAGGCGTTCAACCGCCTGCATTGGGGATATATGGAACGTACGCTGAGCAAAATGGAATTTCCTCCCGCTTTCCTGGCGAGTGTAATGGCCCTTTACCAGCACCCATCAGCGAAAGTCTTTAGCACAGGCTTTTTATCTGCACCTTTCTCCATAGCCAATGGTACGCGCCAGGGATGCCCATTGTCTCCACTTATCTTCATCCTATGTCTCGAACCCCTGTCACGGCTTATAAACAGCAACATACATGGCTTGTTAACTCCAGGTGGCACAAACAAGATGGCACTGTTTGCTGACGATATTCTCATGTTTATCACCAAACCAACAATCTCCATCCCCACACTCCTAGGGCTCCTGTGTGAATATGGAGGGGTATCATATTACAAAAACAACACTTCCAAGACACAAGCACTACCGATCAACCTACCGCACCACATACTGACCAAACTGACCTGTGAGTATGCATTCGACTGGCGCAAATCATCCCTCACATACCTGGGGATCAAACTGACGAAAACATATCAAGCCATCCTAAAAAAGAACCACTATCCCGTAGCGCATAAACTCAAAACAACCTGAGAGAAATGAGTAAACCTAGAGATATCCTGGTTAGGCCATGTAAACACAATTAAAATGATGGCACTACCCCACATCCTCTACCTCTTCCGTACGCTGCCAATAGTGATACCGAACTAATTGATCAAACTACTACAAGCCACTATCAATGCGCACGTTTGGAAGCAAAAGCCTCAGAAAGTAGCCCAGTGTAACCTAGGGCTTAATTACATCAGAGGGGGCCTAGGATTGCCGGACGTCAAGACTTATTACAGAGCCTCGGTCCTAGCGCAGAGGGTACACATACTGAGACTCAGCAGACACATTCCAGCCAATCAGCAGCAGACCCTCCCTCCCACCTCCTGGACAGCATCCATTTTACATTCATTGTGAAGCTGCATTCTTAGTGAGCTGTCCAGGAGGTGGGATGGTCTGGGAGGGAGGGTCTGCTGCTGATTGGCTGGAATGTGTCTGCTGACTGTGAGGTAGAGGGTCAAAGTTTATGTTCGCCGAACCGTTTGGGACATCACTACTGACCATGTTAAACTGTTGCTATATACTGCTAAGTAACGATTTACGCACATAACATTGTCAACTGGACGTAATGTATGATTCTACCCTGTTTAACTCAATAAAAAAAAAACTATATATGGGGAGGAAAAAAATCCAGAAGTAAACCACTAATGTACTAAAAAGCACAATGATAAAAACAGAATTACAATACACTTGTGGTTGCAAGGGATACAGTGTGATAATATGGTACTGATGTGTTGTACTGCTTAGTATACAATCCCCTCCTTGTGGAAACAATGACGACAATATGTGGTCACAGTGTTATCAAATTTGAAGATACACTCTGCAATACATGCAGAGAAATAGTGCTCTTTGTAGAATTAGACATCCTGTTTTGTGGATCAATATGTCCACTTCATCAGAGGCTGCTGCCATTAATTAGGATTGGACTTGTATACCCCATTGTCTGTAGTTTTTAAAGACACAAATACGTATTGCTAGGTTCTTTTAGCAAAATGGCCACCAAACTTGTACGAAACAGAAGTCATCCAAAACTATGGTGCATTTGTAGAAGAATATTAAAGGAACACTATAGGGTCAGAAACACAAACATGTATTCCTGACCCTATAGTGCTGAACCCACAATTTAGGTGCTTTCCCATTCCCCCTTTTAAAATCCATCTAATTTTCAGCACTGTGCAGGTCCGCCAGCACTGTCCTCACCCCCTTGGTGACATCAGAATTGCCAATTTTTAGCCAATCCAATGCTTTTCCATGGGGAAAGCATTGGATTGGCTAAAATTGGCAAAAGGGGTGGGGCTAAACACCGTTTTGGCCAATCAGCACCTCATCATAGAGATGCTTTGATTCAATGCATCTCTATGAGGAAAATTCAGCGTCCCCATGCACTACCCCAGGAAGCACCTCCAGTGGCCATCTGAGGAGTAGTCACTTGGACGTGTCCCTAGGGTCAATGTAAACACTGCCTTTTCTCTGAAACTGCAGTGTTTGAATTAAAATGCCTGAAGATAATGAATATACTTGCCAGAACAACTACGCTACATGGTGTCCCTTTAAATTATACTTTGCTTTTGTATTACACAGCCATGTTATGGTGCAGCCACTCACCAGATGTGTTCCTATTAAGAAAGAAGTGTGTAAAGGTTTAGAAAAATACCCCTATCTCATTAGAGATTTTATGTTATAACTGAAGACCGCAAGGTGAATTGTTGGTGTAGGACTCGCCTACGAGGTTTTGCCTTGATGTGGCAGATGAGCTTATACTTAAATTGCCACTGGAGTGATTTAAAAAAAAAAAAAAAAAAAACTCCAGCTGTTTAAGTGTGCATGGTGATTTTGGTTAGTGCGCAAGCAGGGCTGGTGCTTCCTATAGGCCAACTAGGCGGCCGTCTAGGGTACTGCTTAAAGGGGGGCACTGACCCTGCAGCTTTATGATCATCTGTGCTTCCCCTTTATAATTTTTAGCTTGCCGCCGGCCATGTTCCCAGGCGCTAGGGAGCACTTACATTTCTGCTTACTAGTGCCTGGTAAAACACTGGTGGCATCCACATCAATGCGCTCAGCCAGACCAACTCCCAGATATGTATTTTGGCAGACGGCAGCAGTGCAATGCGCTTCAATTGCTCGCTCCTGCCCCTTCCCCCTGTACGAGAGGACAGTGGGTGGGAACATTTCTAAAGAACTGTACAGAAAAAAGTACGGGGGGCGCCAGACGCAGACACGATGGACATAGAAAAAGCAATGAAGGTAAGATGTGTATCAGAGAATGTGTTAGTCTACTTCAGTTAATATGTTTGTGTATGTCAGTCTGTATGGGTCAGTGTGCGTCAATCTACATGGATCAGTGCGTGTGTGTTAGTCTGCATGAGTGGGTGGAGCGAATGGGGCGACAAAATATTTTTTACCTATGCGGCAAAAATGCTTGCACCGGCCATGTGCACAAGTAATTTTTTCCTTCGTTTTTTTAAAAAAATTTTATTGTATATTCTGGAATGTGATCTAAAGGAGTAAAACAAAAAAATAATTTGTGCTAATTTTGGTATTGAAGGAAAAAAAATCAGCTTAACTGGTCAGTCGCACACCAGATAAGCTCCATTTACCTTGGTCTTCCTTTAAACTTTTTTTCATTAAACCTCCATAGATGACCTTTATGTCTCACAAATATTGCCTCTCCCATTCCATTAAAATTGGAAATATGAACTAAAGTATTTTCCCCTTTTGTATTTTAAAATTGTATGCTTCACAGTTGTATATGACCCAGTTATTGAATGTTGATTGTAAATTTATTTTTTAGTTTTATACTTTTGTATGTATATTCATTTCTGTTTAATTGTTATAGTTATATTTCTTATATATGCTTATTTTTGCAGAACTGTAGGGTTGTTACATAAATTTTGTTTTTGTTACTTTGTAAATCACATTTTCTTTGCCAATGATGAAAACAATTAGAATGTAATAATAAAATGCACCTTTTTTTTTTTTTTTTCAGGTCTGGCTCAGCACGAGGAGTGGGTCATGGGTTATGAGTCGTGTCTGGGATAATGGGTATCCTTGGGACATGGTTTACTTGACTCGCTATCAGTCATTCCTAAATAGAATTCTTCCAAGAGCTCTCTCAGACCTGCTTTATGAAAACATGATGAACAAAAGATTCAGCCATGAAAATTATGGATTGGTACCTGTGAATAAGTATGTTTTTTTTTTTTTTGGTTGGTTTGTTTTTTGGGGTTTTTTTAGAGTTAAAAATCTCTGACCATAGACTATAAATTGTTTTGTACTAGAGTTGAATGCATTGTGCAAGATGTATTCCAGTGGTTTCCCCACCCTAGATCATAGTGGACTTTGACTTCAATGATTCTATGTCTATTTCTTTTAGCATTTAAAGCAGCACTGTCATGTCGAACTTACCTTTCTTTAATCGCTTCCTCTTCTCTCCCTCTGCCCGGATCTGTTGTGTTCTTCATTTCTTCCTGTCTGCTCTAGTTTTCTTTAAAACATAAGACAAAGTAGGGACTACTTTGTCTTATGAGGGTTTCCTACGCCTGACCATCTATGACCAGCGGAGGAGAAAAGTGTGCTCCGTTTCCTGAGGACAGAGCATTTTCCCACAATTTTCACCTTTCCTCCATGTTCTTGCAATGCCTCCTTTCTATATTCCCAAACGCCGACAAAACTTCCAAATGTCTTCATAACTTAATGAGAGCAGATTGTCCATTTGTGTTAGGACGACATTTGGGACTTTGGTTAAAAATTTGATTTGAATGAATGAAATTCCAATCTGATCGCGGCTGCCTCTTGCAGCAGCTTAATAGATAGCTCCCTAATTCCCATGATATTTGGGAGCTATCTACCAAAAGGCTGAAAGACCAAGATTGGTCTTTCAGCCAACAGTACTAATTAATTAATCGGCCTGTGGCTGCTAACTGTTGTAAATAGTAGCAAACATACTGCCCCCCTCCCCCCAATAAATGGCCCCATGGTGGGTCATCTCTTAACTAGCCTGGGGGGACATCTCTTAACTAGCCTGAGTGGGGCGAATTCAAGTAAACGGGTGGCATAGGGCCCCCTTGGGCCCCCAACCATGAGGAGCGGGTGGAGGTTTAAATGAAAATGGGGGAGGGACCTATTACCCCCCCCCACCCATGAGCGGCGAGTGGGGAATCTAAATGAAAATGGGGGAGGGACCTATTGTCCTTCCCCTCCCTACAGCCCCCACCCCTGAGTGGTGTTTGAGGAGGGCCCTAAATTACAATAAGGGGGGAGCCCCTTGTCACCCCTCGACACAATATTTTTTTAATAAATACCTACCCTACCCCCCTCACTCCAAAAATAGTGAGGGGAACAAGAAAACTAAATGCCTGTGAATAAAAAATAACTTGCCATTTGAGGTCTTCTTTTTTCAGCCCCCAAAAAAGCCAAATAAAAAGTAATCATACCCGTCGAACTTATAAAATAAAAAATCAAACGAAAAAAAAAAAACACTAAAAAAAAATAATCCATCTTCACCCAGCGAGGGCACCGCACAGACTGAGCTCGGTAGGGCAGGAAAAGGCTTATAAAGTCTCTAAATTTACCTGCCACAGAACTCTGGTTGGTTGGCTTGAAATCCAACCAATCAGAGTGCTCTGTCACTTTATACAACGTGGAAAAGTTCTTTGGAATTTTCCCATGCTTTGTAATTTGGCTCATAACTTTGACTATTAGGAGTCAAATTACACAGCATGGGAAAATTCTAAAGAACTTTCCCACGCTATGTAAAATTACTCACAGCACTCTGGTTGTATTTCAAGCTGATGGATTATTATTTTTTTTATTTTTTATTTTGCACTCAGGTTTTTTATTTTATTTGATAAATTTGATGGGTATTATGGGTTTTTATTTAGCTGAAAAAGATTTTAGAAAAAAAGACCTCAAATAGTAAGTTATTTTTTTATTTACATGGATTAGTTTTCTCGTTCCCCCTCACTATTGTTAGGGTGAGGGGGGTAGGTAGGAATTTATGAAATATTTTTTGGTGGGGGGTGACTAGGGGCTTAAGGACACCTAGTCAGCTGGGGTTACATTTAGCCCCCACTATGCTCATGGTTGGGGGGCCAGGAGGAAGGACAATAGGTCTCCCCCTCCTACATTTTCATTTAGGGACCCAAACACCGCTCATGGGGATCCTATGTCATCCCATTTACTTGAATAGCCTCCACTCATGGGGCATTGTTAGGGGCTCGGGGGGGGGGCACTATGTCCCTCCCCTGCTAGTTAATAGATGCCCCATTTGTTAGAGGGGGGTTTACAACAGTGAGCAGCCACTTGCTGCTCACTGTTTAGTAGACATGCCCCTACTCGTGACATAGCATGTAGGGGCATTTGGGAGATTTTAATCTCCCTTATGCTAATATCATATTGACCCCCATAGAGTGAGGAAGGACATGGTGTGCTTAGGAAGTGGTGGGGCGCACCGCTCCCTGCCGCTTCTATTTTTACATATTACAAGGCGTGAGCTGCGAGCTGGTAGCTCCTTCCTTGTAATAAACCAAACAAATGAACTAAGAGGTCTTCGTTCATTCATTTGAAATTTCTATTCATTTATTCATCTTTTTGACGAATGAATAGATGAAATTCCTGTGGCAAATGCCCAAATATTTAACTGCACAGCACTATCGAGGGTGGGCAGATGACGTGTCCCACAGGGACTTCATCTACCCACACAAAGATTGCAGCGCCCAGGACCTAGGTCCGGGCACAAGATAAAGATGAAAAAATAGATAAGCTTGGGGGCTTAGGGACATTTGGGGGTGACTAGGGGAACAATTAGATGTAGTGGAGTTAAAAACAAACAAACTGGATTCGGCCATGACCGTGCCGCTTTAAGAAGATTATGGAAGTTTCAGTCCAAAATCAGACCAGACAGAGGTCAACTTTCCTGCTTTATGTAGTGTCAGCCATCAAAGCCAAAATAAGAATCTTAGCAGTTACTCAATAAGGTCACAGTTGCTTAAAACCATCTCTATGGAAAATAAATATGTCTATAAAACAATTTCTTTGTAACTGCTTGTGGTATTGTAACTTTACAAAAAAGGTCCGTGCAGGCTTCAAGGATCCTAATGCCTGCTTTTTTATGCAGCATGTTCAACCTGTTAGGTGCCGATAGCTTTTTCCTTTATGTCCTCTACCAATTTGTAGCACAAATTGAAATATTGTATTTTTGTGGTTTTTTTTTTTTTTTTTTTTTTGGCTTACTCTAAGTATTCCATTTTCTTCTTTCTAATACTGTATCATTGAAAGGTTGCTCTCACTTTTAATTGTTATTAATTATTGAAGACTTATTATTATTATTTTTTTTTTTTACGATTCCAGTAGATTTCATTACTACTCCAAATTTTTTAATTTACCAAACCATCCTATGGTTTAAAAAAAGTGCAACTTCCTTCCTGTATGTTACCTCCACCATTCAGATTTTTAGATATTTATGAATATAGCCATTACTTTTTAAAGTCATATACTACTAGCCAGGCTTTAAAATGTACTTGTCACTTCAAAGCATAGCAGTGCATTTCTACTCACCAGGGTAAATTTTCACTTGTCATTGGCTAGTGGAGAGAGGCAAATTTTGAGCGTTTTTTTTTTTTTAGTTCTTTGTTTTGTTGTGGTTTTTTTTGTTTTTTGGGGGTGGAGGGGAAGGGGTTGAAAAGGATTCCTCATGAATATATTCTCTTAAAAACTAGGAGCTCAAGAAAGGAACCAGTCTTCAATGATGACTTGGCAGCATGTATTACGTGTGGCACAGTTGTTGTGAAACCCAACGTCCGAGAATTTACTGAATCATCCGCTATATTTGAAGATGGGTCTGTAGTGGACAATGTGGATGTAGTTATCTTTGCCACAGGTTACAGCTATGCATATCCATTCTTAGATGACTCAATTGTGAAGAACAATAAAGATAAGGTGTCTCTCTATAAGGGTGTATTTCCTCCAAAACTTGAACAACCTACACTCGCAGTAATTGGATTAGTCCAGTCTTTAGGGGGAATCCCACCAACTGCTGATGTACAGGCTCGTTGGGCTGTCAATGTTATTCAGGGTAAGTGGATAGATGCTATTAAGATTAAATTGACATGACTTATCAAGCACACTCAGTTTATCAATTTGGAATGCAAATAATTACAACTCCACAAGGTTCACAGCTAATGAAAAAAATGGCAAAATATCTTCGCACAGTGGTAGTGCCATTTTTCAAAACACATTTGCAAGAGTTGATAAAGGCATTCCTAAGATGGATATGCCTATATATAAAATATTAGAATTGGGCACAGCGGAAATATTTGGTTTGCCTGAATGCATTTGGAAACCATAAGGTAATTAGTTTAGCTGAAATTTGGACAGTATTTTCAGTTCAGGAATTTCATTCAGGGGGTGTAATTAGATTAATTTATAAAAGTGCCAATTTTTATTAAAATCTTCACTTTTTGGAAAATGAAACAATAGGACACACTCTTCACATATAAAGCAATTCATCAAGATAAAGTGCTTTAAGGGTGCAGAGTGTCCCTTTAACAACTGCACACAACATGCATTTAGATCCATAGTCTCTACACTAATTGTATGTGTTTAATTTTAAATTGCATATACAGGTCAGATCAATTAATCTTTGTGTGTTATAATTATTTCCAGTTTGTTCAACTTACTTTCTATTGTTGACATTAACCTTGAAAAAATTTTACAGGCATTTGCAAACTACCCTCTAAAGAAACAATGGTCAAGGAACTAGATGAAGAGGAAAATGAAAAAAAGAATTGGTATGCAAAACATTTTTAATTTTATAAAACATTTTTAAAAATTAGATTAACCATGGTCCAAATCCTCCTCTTCTACAATAGAAGTGATTGAAATAAATGATTATTGTGTTTGTTGGTGTTGGCATGTCACAATAAAACCAATATGCTACACTTATTGATAAAGCAAACTTGCAAATGTTACACCTAGTTAAATGTATGCAATCCATTTCCTTCTATTTACATGTATAATTAGAAAACGTTAACACATATATATGAATCAATAAAAGATATTTTTGCATGTAACCCCTTAAGGACACATGACATGTGTGACATGTCATTATTCCCTTTTATTCCATAAGTTTGGTCCTTAAGAGGTTAATACGACCAATGAGTGTGCTCTTTTCTGGGAGATAGATATATATATATATATATATAATCTCTATCATACAAAACTACCAGCCCTCCAGGGTTCCAAAGAAAGAAACTTCTTTACTCAAAACAATCTAAGAATGTTGACGTTTCAGTTCAAAACATGAACTTTCATGAGAATAATCTGAAATCATAAAGTGAAAAACGAGCATTATATAGGACAGATAATGATTACTTACCTCTGCAGTTGATTCATTAGATCAAATTGCCGACTAATCGCAGTGCGCGTGTGTAGACTCCACAGGAAACATCCCCGTCATCAATGTGTTCTGGGTCCCCTCTAGCTGATTGCAGGCATGCTGCATTACCCTGGAGATCAGAATGCTATATTCCTTTTGGTCTCCAGGACACCTGCCAGAGGTGCTTGGGGCTAAACCCCTCCTCCTTGATGTCTCATTCACTCACCCACCCCGTGTCTCATTCCCATGCCCAGGCCCCCCATTTGTCTCATCCCCTCGACCCCAAAGCCCCTCCATGGGTCTCTTCCCTCTGCCCCTCCATGTGTCCCATTCCGTCTCCCCTCAACCCCTCTCTTTCCCATACTCTTCCCAGCCTACTCCTTGTGTCCCATTTCTCCCTCTCCTTCTCCCTGTGTCCATTCCTACCTCTCCCCCACCCCCCACTCCACTCCAGGTGTCCCATTTCTCCCTCTCCCCTCCCCCCATCCTGTGTCCCATTTCATCCAACTCTCCACCTCCACCCTGTGTCCCATCCCATACCCTCCCTCACTCCTATTTCTCCCTCTCTACCTACTCCCCTCCCTATATTCCATTCCTTCCCCTCTCTCCCTGTGTCCCATTCCTACCTCTCTCCCCCTCCCCTCCCTGTGTCCCATTCCTACCTCTCTCCCCCTCCCCTCCCTGTGTCCCATTCCTACCTCTCTCCCCATCCCTCCTGTGTCCATTCCTACCTCTCCCCATCCCTCCTGTGTCCCATTCTCTCTCCCCCCTCCCCCCTGTGTCCCATTCCTCTCTCCCATCCCCTCCTCCCCCACCTCTCTCCCCATCCCTCCCTGTGTCCCATTCCTACCTCTCTCCCCCTCCCTTCCATGTGTCCCATTGTTACCGCTATCTCTCCCTCTCCCCTCCTCTCCTCTCCTCTCCTCCCTGTGTTCGATTGTTACCTCTACACTCTCCCCTCCATGTGTCCTATTGTTCCCTCTCTTCCCCCCCTCCCCTCCCTGTGTCCCATTGTTATCTATTTCCCCCTCCCCTCCATCTGTCCCATTGTTATCTATTTCCCCCTCCCCTCCATCTGTCCCATTGTTCCCTCTCTCCCCTTTCCCCAACCTGTATCCTATTCCTATCTCTCTCCCTTCCAGGACCAGCATTTCTCTGCCAAGGTTCCCGGTCTGTTAGACCGCTCAGCCACGCTACACATGGGCAGGAGGGGTGCAGCACAGCACAGCTCTCCCCTCCTGCCAGCATCGGGAACCTCAGACTGGGCCGGTGCAGCTGTTCCCTGGCCCATAAGTTATCCAGGCAGCCCACAGTTACAGGGTCGCAGCTTGCGGCTGGGTCCCCTGGAGTCAGGGGCCCAGTCGCAGCTGTGACCCCTGTGACCGTGGTAGGTACGCCACTGCGTGTGGCATTGTGAGTCTCCATAGCAACCAGGATGCACTTGTCCAATGGATCTTAAGGAAACAGACATACAGAGTGTAAAACAGGGTCACAATTAAAGTATAGATTATCCAATACTACAGACTGGTTCCAATAAAGTGTTATGCCTATAAATAATAAAATATTAACCCCTAATGTACCAGTGTTCAGTGTATGGATATGGAAAATCTAATTTAATATGCAAAGTTTGTGTGTGTATGTATATGTGTGTGTGTGTGTATATATATATATATAATATATAATTTTTAAATTTTTTTTACCAGGATGGATACATTGAGATTTATCTCGTTTTCAAGTATTTCCTGGGTCCACAAAACATTGCATTGTTACAATAGGATACATTATTACAAAAATACAATATACACACATATATACATTTAATACATAATAGGTAATACATATATTCAACCATGACAGGTGCATTCTGTGCTGAGGTATATTGCCATAGATCTCTTAAAAGATTTTATATTGAATAAAGATTTGACTGTGTACCTGAGGTTATTCCATAATTGCGGTGCTCTGTGGAAAATGAGGATTAAGCCACTTTGTTTTTGTATTGTGGTATGCTAAATATCATGGTAGTACTGGATCGGAGGTTATAGGAAGTGGGAATAGCTGGGGAGAGCAGTCTACTCAGGTAGCGTGGGAGCTTCCCAGAAATGCTCTTATGCACAAGGTTGGAAAGGGCTTAGGCAGGATTTGTTTCTGTACAGGGCACCTAGTTTCGGATAAAGTCTAGAAGAGACTTTTTCCAATATGAAGGCCAAAGAATAGGTTGAGGTCTAGCAACATACCTAGATATTTAAAAGAGCAGACTGCTGTCAGTGTGCTATTTGAATTTGTTCTGATACATAGTTGTTAATTTTGTAGTTTACGTAATTTAGGTACAGTTCCAAAGATCATTGTAACAGTTATGTCAGTGTTTAGGAAGAGTTTGTTATCCGCTATCCACTTTTCTACCTCGGTGAATTGGTTTTGGAGCACAACCTCAAGTGTTGTGCCACAAGAGTTGTTTGTGTACAGTTGAGGATTTGCAGACGTTAGGCAGATCATTTATAAAGTGAATAGCAGGGGGCCGAGTATGGAGCCTTGGGGAACACCACACGTGACTGGAAGAGGGACGGAAGCGCTATCAGAAATGTCCACATATTGCCATCGGTCTGAAACATATGATTGAAATAAGGTTAGCGGACGATCGTCAATGCCAATGTTTTTAAGTTTTTGCAAAAGAATGCCATGGTCAACTGTGTCAAAGTTCTGGCAAAATCAGGGAAAATAGCTCCAGTTAAGTCTCCTTGTTCCATGCCAATTTGGATGTCATTGCAAACTTTTAAAAGTGGGTTGAGTGATTTGGATGATAGCCTAATTGATCAGAGGTCAGATAATTTGATTGTTGATTATATATACATAGTTGAGTGTGGACGCATTTTTTCAAGATTTTTGACAATACCGGGAACAATAATATTGGGTGAGTTAGATACCAAAGTATTGTCACCATTTTTATGAATAGGCACAATTTTTGCAGTCTTCCAAAGTTTGGGTATGTATCTTGACACCAGGGAGTCATTGATAAGGGTAGTGTTGCAGTGTTTGGTTGTCCATTTTGACAGTGGAGGGTTGGGAGTGGATTGTGGGGCTTTGTATGCTATTTATGACTTTCCAAAAGTTTCTTGGGTTTGATAGGTTGTTGTTCAAATTTTAACTGAAATATTGGGCCTTTGCCATTTTTGTTTGCTTTTTTGCATGACTTTCACCATTGTCTGTGGATACAGGGATCGTTCATGTTGCCAGTATGCTTTAACTTTGACCACAGTAAATCTCTAAACTGATACATTTAAATGAGGTCAGCTGTAACCCAGGGCAGATGTGTCCCTTTTTAGTCGTACTTTACGTAGGGGGCATGCAAATTCCAAACACGCAAGAGCTCGGACTGAAAAAAATGCAATTGCAGAGTCTAGATCTGGGTTTAGACTTAATCTGTGCCATGGTATGTTCTTGAGGTCATTTAAAAAGGATTCAAGATTAAATTTTTTTTGAAAGACCTGGTGATTATGATCTTGGGAGGGGATTTAGTGCCTTTATTTTGCGTATGCAGTACACTAGACTGTGGTCACTGAAACTGTTAGGGAGAATGCCCACCTCCTGGATTCTGTCAGGACAACTGGAGAGAATCCAATCTAGCAATGTGTGGTTCTGGCTTTTAATATTAATTTTGAGTTGGGGAGAAAATGTATTGTTAGCTGCAAAGTCTTAAACAGCGTACATGATTTGTTATTTTTAGAATTTAGCCAATCCGTATTAAAATCTCCAAAAAACAACAGTTCACTTTTTTGGGTTTTGAGTTACAGTTTCACTAGGTAGTTGGGGGTTCATTGGAGAGCTAGGTGGGCGGTAGATTCCAGCAACATGTATAGATTTACTGAAAGAGATCTAAATTGTGCCAGAAAGGAAATCAGAGGCAGAAGGGGAGTTATAGTTTTTCAAAGGAGTAAATTGTATGGACTTGTCAACATAAATAACAATGCTCCCCCTCTCTTTGCTCTGTTGTTTCTAAAACTTGAATACCCTTGTATTGCAATATATATATAATTATGTTCTAGTGTGCATGTCATTTAATATCTGCTCAGAAAGAAAAGTCTGATTTTTCACATGGTTTTAAACCACATGTAGGAAATAAACATTTCAAAAGGGTCAGTGACCTTTTGTTCTACTGACTCAACTCAGTGACTCATTTACTTGCCTTGTATTTCATGATACTTAAACTATTACTAAAGAAAATATTTTTTTTGTTTTTTATTGGGGGTGCATATTTGGGATTCGGAACTCTTCAGATGTGAAATTTAAAACATTTAAGAGATAATATACTTTTTTGAAAATTTGTGCATGGAAATATTTTTCAAATCTTGAGTTAAAATAAAATGTATAATATAAAGCAATATTAAGTAAATTTGTTGTAGGGTCAGCTGCTTTCCTAAATATTTTCATTTATAAAAGTTTAGTAAAATGTTGGAGTTGAGTTAAAAGCTCTATAAAATGTATTTATTACGTTTTTGTTTTTATAAATTTTACTTTCCTCATTTCCATTAGGTTTGGTCGGAGTGAAACACTGTCCACTGATTATGTTGCCTACATGGATGAACTGAGTTCTTTTATAGGCTGTAAACCAAACCTACTTTTGCTTTTGCTTACTGATCCCAAACTGGCTTGGCAAGTGTTCTTTGGGCCATGTTGCCCCTACCAATTTCGATTGAAAGGTCCTGAGAAATGGGATGGTGCCAGAAATGCAATTTTAAAGCAGTGGGACAGAACAATCAAAGCAACAAGATTCCGCGAAGTGCCCTCTCATACAGAATATTCCTACATAATCAAACTGCTTTTCATACCTCTTCTGCTGGCAGTCTTCATGGCATGGCTTAACCTATAGCACAACTACTTTTCACTACATCACAAATGAATAATTACTTTGCATGGTGTGTTTTAAAAATAAATTTAAAAAAATCAATTTTATTCACAATTTTTTACTTTCGGTAGAGCCAACATATTAATCTGAAAAAAATTGTGCTCATTTCAATATGATTATATTGAAAATGTGTCCTAAATGCCACACAAACCCCAGGTAAAATCACCAATAATACTTGAAAAAGGAAAAAGGATTATTTAATATCGTGTTTCCAGAAGACTGCATTTTCACCTTCAGGCAAACCGTTTTTCTACTTGGAATAATTTTTTCTTTCCACATTAGTTTCAATATATCATTCAAGTCTGGTCAACTCGGCTTACTAATAAATGGATATTCGGTCAAATCATGTTCAACACTACATAGTAAGCCTTTGTGAGTTGATCTTAATTTCACATATAACTAAATGGAATATTGATGGAAACCAAGTGAACTTTTCATTTTCTCAAGTTTATTGTGAATATGCTGTATTTATCATATTATAAGTAATGTCACTTTAAAAATCTATTTCATCCAAATAAAGTTGTTTCCAGTTACATTTTTTTCATCTTGTGTCAGTGGTGTACACATGACCCATGGGGCCCCGGTGCGAAAATTGATACGTGAGCCCCCCTCTCCCCCCAGCGCTTACTCTGCACGGGCTGGGGCCGCAACACTTGGCGGCGGGCACCTGGTTGCAGGGCTGTGACCCCTGCGACCGCAGTATGTATGTCAGTGCATGCAGATACACACACACACACTTAAAGGACCACTACAGACACCCAGATCACATCAGCTCATTGAAGTGGTCTGGGTGCCAGGTCCCTCTAGTTTTAACCCTGCAGCTGAAAGAGAAACTGCTATGTTTCATTGAGGGTTAATCCAGCCTCTAGTGGCTGTCTCATTGACAGTTGCTAGAGGAGCTTTTGCGATTCTAAGACACTGAACGTAAATAGGAAAGCATCGAGTAACATTAACACACACACTTTTTTTATTTTATTTTTTATTTAATCCCCCAGCCTCCTTACCTTTTTGGAGTGCTGAGGGGATTCCCTGGGGTCCAGTGGTGCTCCTGGGCGGCCGGTCCTGCGGGCTGTCTGGGTGCCCGGCGCGCGAGGGAGCACTCTCCCCTGAGTGGTTCCTGTTCAGCTCCCTCACGCGCCGTGTACTGATGACGGAGCCGGAAGATGATGTCCTCTTCCGGCTTCGGTATCAGTGCGGTGCGCAGGGGGAGCTGAAGAGGAAGCACTCAGGGGAGAGTGCTCCCTCGCGCGCCAGCCTCCCACACAGCCCGCCCACCCGGTGACACCAGGGCCAGCCTCGGGGGGCCCCTGAGGTGGCCGGCTCCTGGGGCCCCCCCAGGAGAAGAGGCTGGCCCAGTGGGTGCATACTGGGTCGCAGGGCGGCCGGACCCCCTGGTGGGCCGGGCCCGGTCACAGCCGCAACCCCTGCGACCCCGGTATGTACGCCACTGTCTTGTGTATTTTATTTGGTAGTCAAGTTTTGGTAGTCAAGTTTAAATGGACAAAATCTAAGTAGCTTGCCCTTGCCCCTAAATAAGACATGCTCAGGTCTTCTAGAAGATTTATCTCACATGTGCCATTATTATTATCATTTATATAGCGCCAAAAATGCATGTTTAGAGTGGGGCTGCAGCGTTCAAGGCAAAGGTGAGGGTAGTGTTATATGTGAACATGGCCAGTGAGGGAGAGGGAAGGGATGGAGAACAGTTGTGAATCAACATCAGCTGACAGCTGCTGGAGGTCAATAGAATTAAGTTTCCTCCTGAGTTGAGGGGGGTTAGGCTGAGGTTGTTGAGTGAGGGGGTACTTGAGAGCAAACAATAAGAGGTGGTGATCAGAAATGGAGTGTTGCAGATATTAGATACTGTACATGCATAAGAGAAAATTAGGTTGAGGGTAATACCAGCTACATGGGTGGGAGAATTTGCCCACTGTGATAGCTTCAGGGAGGATGTAATTGAAAGTAGTTTAGAGACTGCTAAGGTTAAAGGTGGGTTAATGGGAATATTGAAGTCCCCGAGAATTAGGGATGGAATATTATAAGAGAGGAAGTAGGGTAGCCAGGCAGCAAAGTGGTCGAGGAAGAGGAGAGGGGAATCGGGGGGCAATAATTAACGGCAAGGTTAGCAGAGAACCTATGCAATTTACATATAGATCGAATAGTACTCACAATAGCCATCCATATATGAAATAACAGTAGGTCCTTATTGCACAAGAGATACAGGAGAACAATTCTAGGTAAACTTGGCCTACTAGATGAACCTGATAACCCACTGGACACATTAAATGGAAATTATAGGCTAGGAATACAAAGCTGTCATAGTGCTATAACGCTCGCCCCTCCACACATCGTATAAACCCTTTTGTCACTGGAATCCAGCGCCGATGTCTCTCAGCGCTGGATCAGGTTCTGCCTCTGCTCCTCCTCCCCTCCCTAACTTTGGGGAAATAATGTGTCACTCTCGCATTAGGACTACCCCATAGTAAAGCATTGGATCAATGCTCTCCTATGGGGTTTTAGCTGGCACTTGATGTTCTCAAAATTAGCCTGATGACCCAGAAGTACCTCTAGTGGCTGTCTCGTAAACAGACACCAGAGGTGGAGTTAACCCTGCTATGTAATTATTGCAGTTTTCTTAATAATTAGAATTACAGTGTTAAGGGGATAGCTATGTATTTACTGCAAGGCAAAAAAGGCATTTGGCTTGGGCACCACTTTCCAGGTGGCATCAAAAACCATCCAGAAGCATGCCGGTGGATGCCTTGACAGCCTCATGTCCTGGGAGCACAAGCTGGCTAGCTGGCCACCTATGAGCCCCCCAGTTGTATTACATGCGGCCGGCAAGGGAGCATAGATCTGTGAGCGCGCTGCTTAATGATACCGGGAGTCAGAATATGGTGTCACTCCGGCTCTCATCCTCACTAAGCATGCGAGGGAGCTGAGGAGGAAGACTACAACTCCCTGGCAGCCTACTTTGCCTGCCCATCTGCCCGACTGCCTGCCTGCCTGCCCAGCAGCCCAGTCAAGAGCCAGCACAGGTCCTAGGTATAGAATCCACTCCAGCTCCAAAGTTAAGGAGACTGGGTGGATTTAAATTAAAATACTTATAATAATTTGTGAGTGGTGGGGGAAGTGTGTGTGTGTGTGTGTGAGTGTTTGTTTGTGTATGTCTGTGAGTGTGTATGTCTTTCAGTTAGTGTGTATTTGTCAATGAGTGTGTCTGTCAGTGTGTGTCTGAGGGATTGTATGTGTATGTCAGTGAGAGTGTGTGTATCTCTTAGTAAAAGTGCCAATGTCTATCTGTTGGTGAGTGTATGTCTGTCAGTCAGTGTGTGTTAAGAGGTTAATATTTTCAGGAGTCTTGTTCTATAGCTTTTTCTATTGAAGTACTTTTATGGTACAATTATAAAAGGAGTGTGACATAAAAGAACAAAATCTTGTGTATGGACTTCTAACAATATTACTTACAACACCTAGGAATTGATTCACTAAAGTCCAAATGTAGTTTAAACAAATAAAAAAAAATGGTTAAAATAATGTAATGTCAACACAATTAGCAATTTTACAGTTTACTATCTCATCAATTTGGTTGAAATTCGATTGACGGACAAAAGAGAGCATTTAATTTGGTATTATCTGGTGTCTTCTTTAAAATCAATAACATAAATTCAAAATGCATTTTTTCAGGTTCATAATTTGTAAGTCTACAATTTTAACCCACTATATTTAATATAAACATAAATATAATATCCAAAATTCACGTGGGTAAATATAAAATTTTATTTACCCTTTAAACCATTTTCCTACTGGTAGCTTTTTGCCATGGATTTAAATCTTTTAATTATTAGGGTATATTGACTCCTCCTATGGAGTACACCCTTTTTCCATGCATTAAGCAATGAAAAAGTTCCAATAAAACTATTTTTTAATCTTAGCTTGTATGAGAACTGACTACTGTCTGCCTATAAATGTAATTAACTACATATTTTAAATTTGGCTGAACCGAATTTCCAGACAGCTGCCTATTCTGTCCAATTATAACTAAGTGTGCATTCGATTGTGTATTTCCATCTCTTGGCTATGAATTTAAAGGGACCCTATAGGCACCCAGACCATTTCAGCTCATTGAAGTGGTCTGGGTACAGTTTCCCTATTGCATTTAGTGCTGCAATGTTAAACATGTTTAGATTGCAGCACTAAGACTGCCTCCAGTGGCTGTCTCCCAGACAGCCACTGTAAGCACTTCCTGGATCCTAATAAACCTTATGTCCAGTAACTGACACTGGATGTCCTCATGCTCAGGCAGCCGCTTTAGGGTGCCAGAACAGGGTGGAGCAAAAATCTGAATCCCCACCTCTGGATAGGGGCTTGGATGTTTCAATTCACCTGTTTCCTTGCAGCCAGGACACAGCAGGACCTTGGCAGTGAAGTCAGCCGGCCTGTTCGAATAATGTCAGAAAGAGGAGGCATGACTTCTTCTGCTCCCAGACTCCTCAGCGGTCCTGAGTGGATCTCCATCCTCAAGTCTGGACTGCCCCACCTGACCACCAGTGCCCCCTGTGCCCATCTCTATTGCCCCTATATGGCCCCTATCACCCTTCTACTGCCCCTGTGCTTCAAAACATGCTCATCAGGTTTGGGGCGTATTTATAATAAAAGGGGGGTGGGAGGGTAGCTGGTTGGGGCTACTAATAAAATATACAACAATGTGGATTTATAATTATTCAGTGTGTACCTAGAGCACCCAATGTAAGCTCCTTGAGCAGTGCCCTCCACCTCTCTGTTCCTGTACATCGAGTTGTCTGGTTACAATTAGATGTCTCTTAGTCCACCCTTTGTACAGCGCTATGGAATCTTATGGCGCTATATAAATAATAAAATAATAATAACAAGACATAACTATTAAAAATAAAAAAATAAACACCTGATTGGCAGGAAAATGACAACAAAATCAAAAACCTAATGCAACAAAAAATAGATTCTTTTTTGGCCGGTGGGGTCTATGCTTTGAATTCTCATAGGAACACTTTGATTGATTTGCCAGTTTTGGTTTGTTTGCAAATTGCTTAGGATCTCCCCAATGTAAAAAGGAAATCCAGATATGGCCTCCTTACTCACTTTGCTTAGAGAGGTATCCTCCCCACCTTACAGACAAGGCCCAACAAGACTGAAAAGATTGTCTGGGGTTGCTTTATCTTTCATACAGAGGGAGCCTGCCTGCATTTCTGAATCTGGATTTTGAGTCTGATCAGTCTGATAAGAATGGTTTGGGGTCTCTCCATAATGGCATAAGGTAAGCTAAAACCAGATTGAGAACTGAGCAGTAATCCACTAACAGGCAAGCTATTTGAGTTGTTGTCGATTCTCTGCATTCTCTTGTGCCCTGCTTTGGTTTGTTTGCAAATATAAAATAGGTTGTTGCTTTGACACCTAAGAAAGCAGTATTTTAAAATACATCCATTCAACAAAGAACATCGTTCGGTTTCCCATTGCAATCTGGTATTAGGTACATGTAGTAATTTTATCTATAATCACTATGAAACCATGAAGAATTCTTGTTATGTGCTGTGAACTGACATTTCCTAAGGTACACAGAACAATACAAGTCTTTTGAAGTCCTAAGCTTAAAAATAATCATTTAGGGATAGTGTCAATCATGTAAATGTGTTGATCCTTCATTTTTTAAATGAAATAAATAGTTTAATACATTTCTTGGTCTCATAATAAACATGTAAGTGCTCTTTTATCACTCTGTTTCCTACAAGTGAAATTTCTCTCAGAAATATATATGTAGTATATTAATTTTCATAGAACTAAGTACCAATAAGTAAAATCAATTATTATGACTTTGCATCCAGTTTATTTTTAATAGTCTTATTTCAGTTGCTGATGGTCAGCATATGCTACTTTACATTCAATTCTGTTATTAAATAGAAAAATGTATACTTCTAATCAGGCCCTGACTGGCCATTGGGCAAACCGGGCAAATGCCCGGTGGGCCGAGGCAGGCCGTTATGGCCATGGGCCAAGGCAGGCACAGGATCTTCCCTGCCGTCCCATGCAGAGCCAGCGCTATCCTAGTGCCGGCCCTGTTGTGTGCCTTCAAGGGCCCGTGGGGAGATCAAAGATCTCCCTCACCGGCCCACAAGCACTTTACTGGGCAGCCGTCGGGGCAGGCAGGAAGAGCGAGGAGGACCCAGGAGAGCTCTATCTTGCAGCTCAGCGAGGTTCCTCTTGAGAGATTGGAGCATTGTCATGGTTACCATGGCAACAATCCGATCTCGCAACAGTGAACTCACTAATATGACCCCAAGGGATTCACCTCCTCTACAACCACCATGGATTCACCTCTATGTCCCCCCTCCCAGGCGAAAGTAAGAAGGGGGGGGGATTTAAAGTATTGATTTTTTTAAAAATAAAAACAAACAAATATATTTATGTATTACTTTCATCTTCCCCCATTGCACACCAAACACACACACACACTATCTATACCCTTCACACACTTTACTCCTGACACACTGCACCCTTCACACACACACTAACTAAACCCTTCACACACTTTACTTCTGACATACTGCACCCTTCACACAGACACACACACACACACTGCACCGTTCATACCCACTGCACCCCTCTCACACACACACACACACACTGCAGCCTTCACACACAGTGCACCATTCTCACACACAAACACTGCAACCCTTACACTTACACACACACATACACACACACACCAACAGACATTGCACCATTTAAGAGCATTGGACCAACATGCTCTTTGAGAGGGCGCATGCTTGTCATTGGTGATGACTACTCCCCCCCTCCCATCTGGCCCCACCCCCTTCTCAGTGGGCCGCTTTAACTCAAAAATGCCCGGGCTGAATTTATTTCCCACTCTGGCCCTGCTTCTAATATTTGAATATAGTCTTCAGTTTGTATCTCTCCGCTTCAAATAAAGTCTACCACAAACTTGTGAGACTCGTTTTCGTAGATGAGAACATAAATGTTTGTTCACTGCAAACAGAACTAGCTTTATTATGATTGCCAGGATAAAGCCAAGACTTTATTTACTTGAACTTTTGTTCAACAAAAAAATGTTTAATGATTATAAGCATGATAAGCTTTTGTTGTTTATTGTAAAAAAGAGAATAAAGACATTATGGCATAAGTAAAGTAAGATTTCAGGAAGAAAATGCCTCAAGATATTTGAATAACTGTGTAAATGTACTGTGAATTCTGTTTAGACAAGATCAAGTAACTCTAAATTGGGAAATTGACATGGGAATAATATAACAAATTACATAAGGAGCAAGAAAAAAGTAAATCAATTATGTATTAAATATCATTCTCATTCTTACTTGCCAAGTGTCCTAATATATGCAAGACCGTCTCTGTTTTGTGCCTCTGCTCCACCACTATGTTTTTTTTTTTTTTTTTAATGTCTAACTTTTGTGAACACCAGAAAAATACATCCTATAAAGTGCAACTCAATCGCACTATGTGTGACAAAGTAGAAAAGTACATATGTGTAATAAAAATAATAACACAAGGCCATGGCTTTACTGCCATTCTGGCTGGATGCATATTCAGAGATCTCTGAGATATCAGATTATGGTTTCTGCCTTTTTGTTGACACTTGTTGGAATTTAGTTTTATTTTGATAGCAACTATATTGCAGTCTCGTGGGCACTGGATTTTATGTTTTAGCCCTGATCTAGTTGGGAAAATCACACTGCAGTCACCTGCGACCTACTAGTGAACTAGTGAGGAAGTGAGGAAGCTCACAGAAGAGTGAACCACGTTTTGGCTGATTTTGGACTTTTATTTGGACTTTTTATTCTATACATTAAGTACAACTTTGTTTTTAATTTGAAACCAATAAATTATTATTTATTATTTTTTTTATTATTTATTCTATTAAGTCCCAAAAAGCCTTCAGAAACTTCATTGGGGAGTGCCATCCCAAAGAAATTGGCACACTGCTGGTCACCCTTAGAGCCAGGAACTTAAGGCTCTAATCAAGGTGAGCACAATACTTACTTTAAGTATAATAATTGCATTTAATACTGCACATCCAGTCTATTCTTTCTTGTTTTATATCTTTGGAGGAACATCTTTGAGCACGGGGTGTGTTGCTGCCCAAAGAGCAAAAAGGATTATCCTATGGAGCCAATATTACATAGGCTCCAGTCCATGTGAGTGGTTCTAGTTACTTACTCTTACCATTTATTACTTGAAACCATCTGCACTATATATTTCTTTGTTTTTCTCTTTTTATATGTGTCCCCAAATGCATATTTCCAAGTGTGTATTTGCATTAATGGGGTAAGTGTACCCCTCCACTATTTTATATTTACGTTTATATAGCGCTCCACTTGTTGGTATATAGTCTCTACCATATTTTTTTCAGTATTCCATAGGTTTGAAGGGAGGCAGCCCTTGTCTTTACTATAAATGACATCTGCTGTTGGTTCGACTGTATAATCCCCTTTGACAATGAGGGCTTTCCCTGCAGTTACATACACTGCAGTGAAGGCGTCTTACCCAACTAGGCGGGCCGGGAGGAGATTTCATCTACCAAGGGCATCATCTACTTTGGGGAACAGAGGCCTCCAATTATTACAAAACAGGCTGGGGTATTTGCAGATGTTTGGGCCAAACTTGCATATCACATTCAGTCTTCCACAGCCAAGGGGCCATTACCTAGCTTTCTGCCAATTCCAGCACCACAAACTGATAGTTCCCAAGGCAATTTCTCGAGGAATGCATGCTCCAGCCGCTACGCGATGCAGAGCCTACAGAGAACAGAGTTTGTGCCACTAGCGACAGTCCCAGATGCCAACCATGTTTCTGAGCCATGTAGCCTATTATAGGACTGTAAGTTAATAACCCTCCATTGCAGCTCACAACTCTGCCATTTTTCGAACACCTTTATTATCCCTTATGAAATTGTGTAAGCGAATTAAGTGTATCTCGAATACTACTTTTAGACTGGAAGTATGAATAAACCCCCCTCAACACAAAAATAATGATCACATTTGTAAACTGGTTCACAGGTATAAAACTGGTTTGCAATATCTGTGTAAAAGATTATATTTGTATACACTCACAATGTACTAAGCCACATGACCTGGCTCATGAAGCCTCTGGTGTCTTATAGGGTTCCACCATCACCCATAAGTTAATGAATAGTAGTTGTATAAATTCTAAAAGGTATTTTCTGCTCTTCTCTGCTTTTTGAAACACATTTTGCTGTGTGCCAATGACTTGTCACTCAGGAAATTGTTTACACATAGTGAAATACATTTTAGAAGACTAACTTTCTGATCATTTATACTTTGGATTTTATTTTATTTATTATTGTAGCAACAAAGCAAACTGGTGTTACCCTGAGTTTACACAGTGCTATTCCAGGGTTTGGGGCTCTTTTCACATGAGTATCTATTTTGGCTCTATATGTATGCATTTGTCATAATTCTATACATACTATACTCTCTGGCATTTTGTATGATTTCCCTTTTGAAAGGAAACCAGCAATATAACTAGTATTCATCAGCTTAAGGGTGATGGTATAAGATACCAAAGGCGAGATTGCCAGACTTTGAATCCAACTTTCTGCTTAACTCCAGTCTGGACTCAACAGCTTCTTTTCATTCTCCATAATCTCGGTCTACATGATACTACTCTCTCCTGGTGCTCCTCCTACCTCTCCCAGCGCTTTTTCAGTATATCTTTCTCTGGCTCTGCTTCTTTTCCACAACCCCTCTCTGTTGGTGTTCCCCAAGGTTCTTTCTTGGTCCCCTACTGTTCTTGGTCTATACTGCCTTACTTGGTAAACTCAATCAGCTCCTTTGGCTTCTATTATCATTTCTATGTGGATCACACGCAAAACTACCTGTCCTCTCCTGATCTTTCGCTGCCCATCTTGACTTGTGTCTCTGACTGCCTCTCTGCTATTTCCAAATGGATGGCTGCTCACTTCCTTAAACTCAACTTGTTCAAAACAAAACTTCTGGTTTCCTCCCTCAAGTGTTGCTGCTCCTTGTTGGTTTCCCTCCAAGTCAATGGTAACTCTTCTACCTTGCAGTCTCGCTGCGTAGGTGTTCTCTTTGTTTCTAACCTCTTCTTCATCCCTCATGTCCAGTTGATCATCAAATCCTGCAGCTCCCATCTCAAAAACATCGCCTCTATTTAACGCTGGATCCGGCTAAGTTGCTCTGCCAAAGACCTATGTATATCCTCTGTCCATGCGACCACCTTTGATGCTCGTTTTCTCCAGGGCTGCACCTTTTCTGTGTAACTCCTTTCCCTTCTTTGTTAGACTCTCACCCAGTCTCCATTCCTTCAAAAACTCACTTCTTCAGGAAAGCATATCAATTAAACTGTTAACAGATTTCCCTCCAAGCATCCCTGATTCCTCTCTTGTAACTGTCAAAAATAACCTTCAGTTAATACTATTCTAGCAACCTACTTTGATATCCCTACTTTTTTTTCCCTTTGTAGCATGTAAGCTCAGTGAGCAGGGCCCTCAACCCCTCTGTTCCTGTGCATCCAACTTGTCTGGTTACAATTATGTGTCTGTTAGTCCACCCATTGTATAGCACTACAAAATTAGTTGGCTCCTTATAAATGATAAAGTAATAATAATTATGGCATTAATGCCCCTGTCCCTAGTTAATTTAAAGACAAATTATGGAGTAGTAATGTATATTATAAAACAATGACATGAATGTGTGCTGCTCTTTAAAAAAGTAACAGAAAACCAAATGCAAATAAGACTGGTACCCTTACAGAATCATTAAGCTCTTGATAAAGGGGTCGTAATTGCTTTACTTTCTGGTAAATGTTGATGTCTGGTTTACCAATAATATGAGGGTGGAAGAAAAGATTAAGTTAAGTCAATGTAAGACTGAATCTTTTTTTAATGGCATTCTCTCTGGTTCTATTATTATAGGGCAAAGGGTCTAGGTGACACACTAGCCCCATCACTATTTCATCCTTCATCTCATCCAGAGGATAGAGTTAGTGGTAGGGCACCATCCATCAACCTCTCCCTAGCATTGTGTCATTTTGTACCACACCCCACATGGAGTAGTATAAGGGCTAGGGCTATTCATTTATCCCCTACATGGTAAAGATTTTACTCCACACCTTGTGGGTACAGGAAAAGGGGTGTTTGCCAGCATCCACTATATATGCTAGGGTCTTAAACGTTTTATGATAAATGTAATTAATATGGTGACATTATTACTGAAACTGTAAAGATGTATTGATCTTTGTAGATGTAAATAACCACTTATGACATGTGTTCTACCAGCATCATGCAATCTCTGAGTTTCTGAAAAAAAAACATATGCTGAAAGTTGAGATTACTCACAGAAACCACCCTGCAAGTCATGAAATTAGATTTCCTGATCAATCATGGCAGAATTTACTTATGGGTCAGCTCCTCCCTCACAGCAGAGGACAGGAAATAAAACTCGGAAACTGGTATAAATAGATCCTCCCCCTTCCCATCAGGCAGTATTTTCTCCTGTCCTTCACAATGTCACGGCTCCCAGTGATTCTGCCGGCATGGTTGCACATAAAGTAAGCAACCACACCGACAGAAACAATTCTTACTTACCTTGCTCATGGCAGATCACTGCCCGACCTCCCTATGGTCCGGTCCCCAGTGGGTGTGACACACTTTGCATTGACCGCCACGGTTCGGATTTTTGCCCACATCAAAGATGGCGCACATGTGCGTGCGACGTCACATCATTGTTTTGGGGTCAGAGGCAGCCAATTACAGCCAAAGGAGGGGTTTTTAAACCCAAATTACCTTTCTGTCAGTGCCCCGGTCGTGGTTTACCTTTGATGGTTATCCGAGAGTGTGTTCCTGATCGTGTTTTTCTGGGTTTTGACTTTGGCTTCGTTCTGACTTCCCTGATTTCTGGTACCCTTGACTTTTGGCTTTTCCTTATCGCTGTTCCTCGTTCTGTGTCCCTGACCTCGGCAAGTATTTTTTTTTCTTCTGGTACCTAGATCTGTATAAGTGATGGTTACTCCTAACATTGCATTGATGTAATACTTGTGGATTATATGCTTGGATTGGTGTTGATATCTTTGCAGATAAATAAGCTGCAGAATGATCTTATCACCATAGCCTGTGCCATATGTACTTCATCACTATATGAAGATAAAGTCAGAGTACGGATGCAGTTGTTTGTTCTCATAAGGATAACTGAATATCTTCTACAAATCCTGCTTATTATTTGTCTGTTGCCACAATGTATCATGTGCCTCTGATTACCACCTTCTTATCAGTATCCTTCCTATTAGATATCTTCTACTTATATTGCACAACAGTCTCTAATCATTTTGATTCTACTGTTTGGCATAATCTGTACTTTTTACAATATTTTTAACTTTGAATGTAGGTACTGATGTGTTTGGCCTATATTGCCTACTCATAATTTAGTCTTGCCACAAATTCTATGGTTCATACCGATGTGTTTTTTTTTTAACTAATCTGCATGATATGATTCTTTTTGCCTTTGCCAAGTAAGATCCATTTGTGTTATTGGTTTTTACCTCTACTGCATTAATTCAATATTTAGTCATTGTTGCAGTGTTTTAATAACAGACTCTCTTATTTCTTTACTATGCTCTGCCTCTTTCTGACAGGCAGATATTGTTTTGTTTCCTGTATCTACAGATAAGTAGTTCACAAGGCAAGATGAAGCAGTGTGAATCGTCTTTAATAAATACAGCCAGAAAATAGCAGGATTCTCAGTGTAATTCTCCCCGTGTTTAATAGCATGGTCTGACTGTTCCCATCCAACAGTATCTGCTTGTTCCAGTATGATTTCTGGAAGTTAAGCCTTTTTCAATGTTCTGATTTGATGACGCCATTCATTTGGTTTTTAATTTATATCAGAGAAGGACATATCTTCTATTGTTGACATAATAGATCTATAATTTCTAGACCGTGTCTGGTTTTCATGGAGGTTCTCTTTTTTTGTTTTTGTTTTTTTATCAATAACAAGATGGGTTCCTTATTTCTTACGAGAGTTTGTCTTGTATTAGTCTAGCCTTGTTCCTTCTCTAGGTTTGGCTATAATGATCCTATCTGGTTCTACATTTCTCAAGGATATTTCAGACATTTGAATGCCAGGGGGTTGCTGACCTAGTAGCCTTAGGGTAAATTAACTTGCCTGAACAGATTTTATGACAATATCCTAGTGATTACTTGTTTGGCTTTTTTAAAGTCATCTAAGGTTTATGCAGCTCATTAATGGGTTGTTTAACTATTAGCTGTTTTTTAACTCTGTCCCTCCCTCTAAATATACTGCCTGGGTATTCCCCATGAGTAAATGCTGCCATGATTGATCGGGAATAAGGAAAATTGTTTCATACTTACCGTAATTTTCTTTTCCTGATCATTATTCATGGCAGCATTACGTCCCCACCCATATATCTTAAGTTGTGAAGCTAGTTACAAAGACTGCCTGATGGGAAGGGGGAGGATCTATTTATACCAGTTTCAGAATTCTATTTCCTGTCCTTTCTGATGTGAGGGAGGAGCTAACCCATGAC